TGAGTGTGTGTGTGTGTGTGTGTGTGTGTGTGTGTGTGTGTGTGTGTGTGTGTGTGTGTGTGTGTGTGTGTGAGTTCTTACTCCACCAGAATTGTCCGTGAGTCAAGCAGGGTGAGCGTTGGTGCATGTAGCGGCCCTGGAGGAAGCTGAGAGGTCAGCATTGTAACTTGGGAACTGTTGGTGCAGCCCGCTGAAGTGCATGCACTCAGTACCAAGACATGGGTGGAATACACACCGAGACCTGAAACACACACCCACACATACACCAAATCAGCAAGATATAGAGAGGAATACAAATATGTTCAAACATTATGACGGCACAGTAAAGTCTAAGGCTGAAAAACCTAAATCATAAACTAAGTTACCTAAATATATGGAGAAGATTGACCATCAACCCCTTATTCTGTCTGTCGTTTACAGAAGAATTCATCTGTATACCCACTTTTAGCTCAGTGTCTTAATCATTGTTTCTCTTTCAGTGTTCATCTTTGCCTCACAACTCTTCTCCATCTGTCCGTCTCACTGTGGCAATCTCCCTCTCTGTAACACGATCTATTCTTGCACATACTGTATAATTACTACGTCCATAATCCTTCCAATCACTGCGAACATCAGACACTCGGCATTATTAACCCAGCATGGATGATATATGCTCTCATGCATTCATTAACTTACAGAGACACACACATACACTTTTGGGCAGTGTGATGTTTTGCTGAGTGTGTGTGTGCATGTAAAATCAAAAAGAGTCGTAATCTATTCTGCTCATATAAAATGCCATTCAGGATAACTCTTGTGTGTTTGTGAGTCCTCGTACATCCCTGCACACGTTAAGTCTGCATACGTTTCACTCAGAGTGTGTCTTGTATATGCCTATGTGTGTTTTTGTGTCACATTGTGTGTGTGTCTATTCAAAACTGGTGCAGCGCTCCAGTCTCAGCGGAGTGACATGTGTTTCATACCTTCTGTAAGACTCTTTAATGAAAGCTTTCAAAGCATACTGTGTGTATGCATGTGTGCTAATGTTTAGTGTTCTTTGTTTCTCCGCTGCTTCATTTTCACGCGTGTGTGTCTGTGTGTGAGTGTTTAGCGCTCTTTTTCAAAGTGCTATTCCCTTGGTAAGGACTGGGATACTCTTTCCTCTTTCAAATGCTAATCCCCCACTCCATTTTTCTTTTCTTCGCTCTTCCCGTTCTCTTCACACCGAGCCGCCATCCTCCCACAGTCACATCTACGCTCTGACACACACACACACACACACACACACACACACACACACACACACACACACACACACACACACACACACACACACACACACACACACACACACACACACACACTCTCTCCTCTTTACCAGTGATGTCTTGTTGTTGTTCTTTCCCCCTGTAGACCATGTGGCTGTTGTGATAGAGAAGGTACTCCGTAATGACTCCATTGGGTCTGTTTTTAGAACAAATATTGTTACTATTATTATAATATCATTATGTTATATTTAACGTCTTATTTTTTCATGTTAAACTCTCTATTGTGTTCTATTAAGGCATCTTTAATAAACGTTAAAATAATATACGTGCCATATGAAAGGAGAAGCACTCCTTTTTAAACACTTAAAGGTGGGGTAGGTAAGTTTGAGAAACCGGCTCGAGATACACTTTTTGTTATGTTCCATGGAATGCTCTTAACATCCCGATAGCAATGAATATCTGAAGTGCTTTGACAAAAAATCCATAAAAAAATGTCATCAGTGGAAGCCGTGGCGCTGTAAAAAGCACGACCAATCAGCCGGCCCGGCTAAAATAACTGGATGGCCTAGCTGCCTGTCAGCCTTCCATCTGTGCACTAACTTATCTCGTGCCCTCATTGGTCATGTGCGCGTTCGTCTGTGTTGGAGGAGGGGCTCTGTAAGGAAGTGGCAGATTTTTTTCGGTTGTGTATTTTCAAATTCTAGCGCACTCAAGCTGGTTTCTCCAAAATTACCTACCCCACCTTTAACCCTTTACAACATACTTTTTAAACGTCATCATTTACTGCTGTCTTTTGTATTTCCTTCGAGTAGAATGTCAGAAATATACAAAAGTTGTCTATAAGTGAAAGCCTAATGACAAAGAATTTTTGGTGTACTTACAACTTTCACTTTAACAACATAACGCTCACTAACAAAAGAAGTGGTTTGGTTTTGAGAAGAGTAGGTGAGAGTGTGTACTTTGTATTACCTTGTTGGAGGTTCCCAGGTTATATAGAGGGACGAGGGGGAGGAGTCTGCAGCCGGGGGAGAGACGGCATCTGGAGCTGAAATTGTAGGAAAATTGTAATATTTGTTTATGAAAGAGCCGATCAGCACACATATACTGGTTGATAGAAGCAGAAGGGAGCGTATGAAATACACTATGGCGAATCACAATTTTATAAAGGGTATTTATACAGCTGTGGCATCTGATGTTAATATCTTCTACAATATATGAATCTTAGCTCAATCTTCATTTCATTTCACATGATGCTTGACATTGACCCAGTTTGGAATAACAGTTCAAAAATCAGCTGGAGAAGAAAACTTGACATGATGGTCCTTGATACTAATAAAGAAGGTGAACTAAATGTTCCCGTGCTGACAGAGACGTGTTTCTACATGAGGTTTTGTGAGTTTGAAATATAGTTCTTTAGAGAAACAGTTATTAATAAGTTCTTTTTCTTCACTTTCCCTAACATGGTTCAGTGTCTTAACTCTGCGCTCAGTGAGAATCAATACAGTAATCGTTTTTTTTTCTTCTTTTACTTCAGATTGATTTTTGCCGTCTCTGCACTGACCCCTGCCGTCACATTATCTCCCCAACAAGGCCAGTTAGTGCAACACAGATTAATGTGGCGACCAACATATGAAGAAATATCTTTCCTCCACTTTTTCTTTCCTTATGTATGTAATCATCCCACTATGACCTCCCAGATGAGAAACATGTTACTTTTTACAATCTGCCTATGACTCAATTTCTATGCACTTCATTCTCTTATCTTTTTGCGACCTGCCCTATCCAGCCGTGTAACTTCTTTATTTTCTCCCTTCCCTGTTTCTGTTTATTCCAGTATGACTTCTCCCTATATCTTGTCTTCCTAAAATCTAAAGAGCACCGAGGAGACAGTGGCATTCTGTTTATGTGGGTCCAGATGTAGAAACAGTGAAACATTAATGCTATGGTAAGGGATAGAAAAAAAAATATATATATATGTTGCTTGGTGTATGGATGTGTGTGTGTGTGTTTGTGCATTACAGGCTTACCTTCCTCCGGGGTTGTCAGGCTCAATCTCAAATCATTTTCTTCATCATTGTCATCATGAAGACTCTCAGTGCAGCCAACGGGACTACAGGCACTAACAGTGACAAAGTATCGAGTGGATGGAGTGAGACCCCGCAGGACACCTGGAAAGGGAACTTTGCTTAAAAAAGACAACTCTGACGGACACCAATTATATTTTGAGAACTCAGACTACTGAAGCCTCATGTAAGCTTTCATTTGACTTGTGCGCTGTGAGTGCATTTTTGTGATGTACGTACATATGTGACACGTATATTAAGCTATACCTGAAAAAATGTGAACCAATCCCTTCACAACCCTTTGTCCCGAACCCAAATGTAGCTTGGTTGCATGCCTTTTACTGTCCTCTTTGTGTGTTAAAACGTTCCTAAAGTATGTATCAATCTTCTTCAAGAGTGCAATTGAAATGCTTTTCATGTCTCTATGTCACTGTTGCTAAGCAAACTTTCTGGACTTGGCACACAAGGCGAGTCTATTCTAATTGTTAAGCTTGAGTTGTCTCTCTCTGATGTTTTTTGTCCTAGCCGTCTGCCCTTTCCACTCCTTTCCGTATTTCTTAAGTCACTCCCTTCTCCTCCCCCTCTGTGTCCAGTCACCCTGTACGTGTCTCTCTTCTTTCTCTCTCTGTTACCTATGTCTTTTAATTCAATTAAGGGCCAGGGCCCCACTCCGCTGCCATTACACCCTCATTTGCTTTCTGTGTTTTTTAGCCGTTGGTGTAATTCCGCAGTCAGGTGTCGAGGCCATCATAAATTAACAAGAAGCCTTATCACGGTGGACTTAATGTCTGGCGAAGAGAGAGGGAGGGAGTGGGGAGCACCGAGAGAGACACTGAGAAAGACGGAGACAGAGAGCTCATCTTCATATTTGCCTAGAGACATGGTGGAGTGGATGAGAGGAGGGACGAATAGCAGCGGCGGACGCAGACATCATCATCATCATAAAAGATGAAGTGAGGAAAGATCGAAAAGTGAGCAACAGAGAGGGAGAGAGAGAGAGAAAAAGAGCAACGCCAGGGTATGACATCATTGGGGTAGTCCTGAGTGTCTTGTTCCAAATGGAGACCGTCTCTTAAAGCTGGGGACTTGCCAAGGAGACATTAACAGGGTTGCCATGGACAGCATTGGTGTGTGTGTGTGTGTGTGTGTGTGTGTGTGTGTGTGTGTGTGTGTGTGTGTGTGTGAAAGACAGACAGACAGAAAGTGAGTGGAATAGCAGTGTGAATATGTTTTCACTAAGGGCCAAAAGGCCCTTACATGTCTTACTAGAGGGAGGCAGGAAACCAGCTACAATAAGTTTAACCAGTCAAGTTGAATGTATTGTAAATTATCCAGGTGTCACAGTGATGCCACTTGTTTTGTTTGTTAGTTGTGCTTGCCTGGTTCTTGTTAAGCCAATTCCAGTTATCCAGAAATAGACCAAGCTCTCTTTTTATGCATTCCTTGATCCATACTTCAACTGAATGTATATGTTTAATACACAATGGACTGCATGTCAAAATATGTTAGACATGTTTTTTTATGTTTTACCTGTGTAATTTCCATTAGCCAGGTATTCGGCTCTGACAGGCGGCACTTCTGGCTGATCTCTATTGTAGGCATTCAACTCATATCTGTCAATCAGGCCTCTGATGTCCCCAGTGGGTGGCGCCCAGCTCACCTTGGCAGTGAAGCCATTCAGGCTGTGCACAGAGGTAGGAGGTGGAACAGACCTAGGTACTAGAAAAAAAGAGAGGGGGCAAAATGATTAAAGATGAGAGAAAACAGAAGAGAGGAAATCTGTTGATCATGACAGGGGGAAAAGAGACAAACAGCTATAAGCAGTAGAATACATACATTTAAAATTAGCAGTACATGATAAAACAAGAAAGAGAATCAAATACAACTATAAATGTATTAGCTCAGGTAGAACTTCTGTCAAGATAAATATAAATCCAATAAAAACAAAAAGGAAAATATAAACGAGAAAAAGCAAAACAACAGATCGAGAGCACGTGAGGTTAAAGAAAAAGAACCCCCGTCTCCATGTGTTTTAATAGGCCCAGTAAATCACACCTCACCATTAGCATAAATACTATTTATGAGAGTAGTAACTTTTTCAGCACTGATTTAATACAGCCAGCCATTCATTCTGGGCTATATTTCACAGCAATCAGCCTCCCTCCTTCTCTGAAGCACTCTTCTTCTTTCTGTCTCTGACACCCTCAGTAGGTAAGGATGATCCAGCTTCTCCCCCCTCCCCGTCACTTCCTATCTGTCTATCTCACCACTTTATTTCCTTCGATATTTTGTTGCATCCGTTTCCATTACATCTAAATGTTTATGCTTACAGATTCACGTTATTTTTTCTTATTTCTACTCTTCTTGCTTTCCTTCCTTCTCTTTCCTCCTACTTTTGGACTCTCCCTACATCCTCTCTCCTCCCATCTTTCCTCTCGGCCCTTGTCCTCCATCCTCCTCTTTTCCTCTCAGTTCTTAATGTTTTTAGCACTTCCTCCCTCACTCTCCTCATTCCTCTCTATGGTCATAGCATGGTATGCTGAGACCTACCAGTGTATCGTTCACTACTAACGAGCAGCTTTATATTACACAAGGGACCACACAGGCCATTCTGGGTTAACAGCCTTTTACTGGGATGCCCTTTATAGAGGCTTTATCAATCTCTCATAGCGTCAGGCACATGTAATATCACGGGCTTTGGATTAGTCTCACATACTGTACAACATAGTTATGGTTTTACATCCAGGATCTCCTAAGAACAAAAATAAACACTATAGCAACAGGAGGGCATTCTAAGAGCACAGCTTTTAACTACAAAAGGATAAATACTCTATCTACCACCGTTATTGAAATCAAACACATTTTTGTGTATTCTGGTGTGATTCGTAAATGCTGAAACATAAATGGGTTTTTCTTTCGCTATACTGCTACACACTTCTACCAAGGTTCATTACAATAAGGCCTGAGTGTTTCTGTATTCTACTGACAAACAAATAGTCAAACAAAAACAATCTATAGAAAAACAAAACCTTGTGTTTACTTTTGACAAAGGTGCCAAAATGCATCTGAATTCAATGCTCCAATAAAAGTCAATCAGGGTAAGTCATATTTGTTAGTAACTTATAAATGAATGTTTTTGCAAGACAGCACTTTGAAGAAACACACAAATCATGCACACACTGCATGCTGATGGCGGAGGATTTTAAATACTAATGGGCCTCATCATAAGGCCTCCCTCCCTCACACTATTAGAGTGAATCAGATCATAGATAGAGCGAAGATAGAAAGAAACATTGATACTGTAGAAGATACTGTGTACAATGTGTTCGGCACTGTAATGACATCATCAAGCCGGCTTCAAGTATTGGTGTAAAGTACACAGACACCAAAAGATGAGAGATATTTTACCTTTGCTTCGGCTGCGTCCCCTGTGCCAAGGTCCTGCTGCCCAGCCTCCTGCAGCCAAGGCCACTATCCTGTAGAGGTACTCTGGGAACGGCAGGGGGAGAAACACATTGATTACATAAAGAGAAAATGCATTTGAAAGATAAATGCACAAAAAAGAATCACATGGTGTCTGTTTCAACTAAAATCAAAGTTGTATTTACTTTTTAATATTTACTTGCACTATATTTTTCAGTTTTTCTGTATTATTGTGTTGCACTGTTGTAGGAGCCTGTGACCTAAGATTGTCATCGACATAACTACTCTGTATGTTCGTATGACAAATAAAGAACCTTGACCTTGAACCTAATGATTGTCAAATGGATCCCAGGGTAATGATAACAAGTCAAAGTTGACAATGTGTTTATAAATACAACTCTGAAAGATATATTTAAATTATTTGTTCTGAACCATGAACAAAAAAAGATGGATAGAGAAAATGACAGGTAATATATATTTGATTAATATATGTTATATACAATTTATAATATATTCAGTAGTTATGAATACTTCTAAGAATGTATGTTGTCTTTTAAACATTGACAATGTGCAAGAGTTTCTGTCCTTGTAGTTATGTAAATGTACAGTGTGGAGCATTACCAGTGAAAGGCTGAAGGTTATGATCTATGGCTTGTGTTTTCCTCCCACTGTACACCAACACTGAATCATTTCCTCTGCAGTTGTACCCGCTCTCACTGTTGGGACAGCCGTCTAAGTAGACTCTTACAGAGCGCCGGGAGGCGACAGAGAGGTTAACACTTTGACTGACAGGAGGGTTTGTTTCATCACTGCGTACGGCGAGACCCCTGATGCAACCTCCCAGGCCTATCACAGTGGAAAGGAAAAGAGAAAAATAAAAGAACAGAGAATAGTAAGGAGGTGTTGGAATCTCTGAAAACGTTGTAAAATACTTGTTAAATAATAAATACCGTCCTCCACTTGAATATCAACAAGTTGAATTAGTCATGCACTTTACATTGAATGCTGCCCTGAATTGTTACAATCAAGGCAAACACGATCTGCAAAAACCTTAACTCTCAGTTGTTTACATTCATAGAAGAAAACCCAACAGGAGCCCACAAACAGGTTCATGTCATGTTTGATCAGTTTAGCTGCACAGAAGTATACTGCAGCAACCACAACCAAATGAATTGGTGCTTGGTCATCACCTGCCCTTCAGAGAGTCTAAAGGTACAGATAATACCGTACGCTCTCACCATGTTTGTGACTTCGACTGTCAAGAGCCGGGTGTATAAGCTCCCTGGGCACGCCCCCCAAATATAATGGGGAGTCCACTCTCAGCCTCAGTGCTCCTCCCACTCCCCTCGTCTCCTCTGCCCAGTCATTGACTGCAGCAGAAAGGAGCGGGCCATGTTTTGCCAATGAAAACTGTTTCCAGTCTCCATCGCAGTAACTCAGCCCCACCCACATGCTGAGTTCAGTCACGTGATCTTCAGACGAAAGAATTAAGGAAAGTATTCCGGCTTCTAGCTCCACCTAAAAGAAAAGCACCAATAAAAAAAAAATAACAAGCTTAAGTCATGTATTTCTCAAGTTCTATTTAAGTATTCAATCAACAATCATCTAAAATGTGTCTTTGTTTCATACCAGCATGTAGTCTTCAGTTTGTGTGTTGTATGTAAAGAGCAGAAGTGCATTGAGCTGGTCCGTTCTGAAATCCATAGAAATGTCAAAGTCCTGCCCTCCACTGAAAACATCTCTGTCCATTTCCAGGTAACCTGAAACAAAGAGGAATACTTGCCAGCTCCAGTACATGCCAATGTATTACGAGGCTAGAGGTTAAAGAAAGAAAGCAACGTCTTCCGCTATACAGGAGACCAATACAATTTTAGTCACAATTAAACTGTATGACATGTTTTTAGTTAAAATCTATTTTTTCATATTTTCAAGAGTGACAGACACATTAAATACAGATAAACAGGACCATGTACAAAGCGATAATGGAATAAAGTACACGGATGAACCTGATCTTTCACACAGAGACCAATTAACTTATCATCATCATATTTATCAACATGAAACAACAACCTCATTATCACCAACACGACAGCAAGCATCTTATTAAGATGCAGTGTTGCCAGTGTATTAGAGACACCAAATCCACTTAAAGCTGCAATCCAACACAGCTTTCTAATGAAAAGTCACTCGGTGCTAATACCCTGTTGTAGGTTGTCATGCCCCAAAATTAGAGTATGAAGTATTGTGACAAACTGTAGGTTATGGTTTCTTTCTTTCTTTATTTTATTTTACTATATGTATGTGTTTGCCTGTCCTTGTTTGTCTACCCTCCCTCATACTGTAAAGCATCTTTGAGTTGTGAAAAGCGCTATATAAATAAAATGTATTATTATTATTATTTCTTAATTGGCATAAATGTTTGTGGGAAATGGTTATGTTGGCGTGCATTGTCCTTGTGAATCAAGTAAATGAACAGAAATCATCAAAAAAACATTTTCAGTATGTTATCAACAAAGGATCCTACCATGACCTAGAAAATGGGCTCCCTCCACAGTTTGAATAGGGCATCCCTCCCAGCTTTCATACACTGACTCCTTATTTGTGGCTTTTGCCCAGTCCAGAGATTTCCAATCCTCTGAGGGGCCGTCAGTCATCTTAAAACTCACGTCTCTAAGGCAACCAGAGAAACCCTGTCGCACTAGCCGAGCATCACCTTGTGGGACGGACAAGAATACATGAAAAACACTTCAAAGGTTTCACTCCATGCGTTCATACAGCTTTAGGTTAAACATTTTGTGTTTCAGTTGTCAGTGGCAATTTCCCAATGCTTATAATGCAAATGAATGTGGTGAAGCATAAGAGCCTGGATAAGATAATGACGGCACATTGAATAAAGACAGTAAGTTGTTCTCAAAGTTGTGGGACTGGCCCTCAACCAGGTGACTTTTAAAAAAAAATAACTCCTTCCTGTATACACCGTTTGACTTTTGATATCCCAAGGCGGCCAACATTTTAGGAGGATACATAACTCCTTTGTTATTGAGGGATTCAGCTCTAGGGCTTATAGAAAGAAGTTGAGCACATTTTAGCTAAATTCTATTTCTTCCTTGGAGAGCGATTAACATAAATAGAAATACATTCAAAAGCCAAACCAAGTTAAAAGTTTAACAAACTTCTCTTAATATTATAATTGAAACACACTAACACATTATAACAATGAAATGGAGTGTTTGACAATGGACGTACCTGAATCCTCCCTTAACAAAGTAAAGTCTTCAGGTAGCCCACCGATGAACATCCCTGTGTTTTCCCCAATAATGGTGCTGCCGCTGGACGCTGACGCACTTCCTGTTGGGGAAAGTGTTGAGTTCAGGGAGGATAGGTTAAAAACAATCTGATTTACCCATATAGAAAGAAATTGAATAAGATATCTGAGAATAACGGAGGGGCATGAGCTGTGTTTCTGTGTGTGTGAAGCTGTATTTTTCTCATTAGACACAGAGTGGCTGGGATTAACCTTTCTAATACCTCCATGCAGCACGGGGTGGATTTACATAAATAGAAACACACGTACAAACATACGTACATACAAGATCTCACACTATACACATCCAAGCAGAGGATCTCAACCTAGCATGTATACTGTAGATAAGCAAAAATGCATTTACACTCCCACTCACAGAGCAGATACACACAGTGGTCAGTATGAATATGAGAAGAGTTACCTCTGTATTGATTGTTTACAACGATTGTTCCCACGGCCCCTCGCCTTGTTGCTATGATGCTGTGCCATTGTCCATCATTGTAGCGGCGCCCCCCATCACCATGTACACTCACAGCCACCGCAGAGCCCTACACACACACACACACGCAAGATTTAAACACATTTACGTTTATGGTATGTGAAGACATCCTCTGACCATTGGTCTTACAGTTGTCTAAAGTAAATATATGACCTCTGGTGCAAAAGAGAACAAGTTTTAAATCACAGTCCAATCAAACAAGCTCACTTTGTAACATTACAAATGATCCCTTCTTTTACCCCTCTGTTGTGTGAACAAGGTTAGACATTAAGGATCGATGACACACATCAAACACCACCCTCAAAAGGACACCAACATGCACATATAATCATCAAAGTGTTGTTACAGGACTTTTTGCTACCTATTAAGTATGACATCATTGTTGTGATCAGCTTTTAGCAAGTAGGCTAAGACACAAGAGTAACGGGTATACACACACACTCACACAAACAACATATATCCACACACAGATACACACACAGTGATGAAGATTTAATGATGAGATCAATAAATGTATGAATGCCAGAGTATATCAGCCTTTGACATCTTTACAACCATTGCTAGACAGCTCTACTTAACAAGACAACATGGGAGGTGTGTCTCTCTATTGCTCTCTCTTTCTTTCTGTGTTACACATTCACACAAACACACACATCTGAATCCATTGTCTGAGAGACTCTGGCAATGGAAGCAACTAACATTTAACTCTCGGAATCTACCACCAAAGTGCCATTGAGTAAAAACATAATAACTGGACAAAAAACTAACAAACACAAACCAATTCAAGCAGACACAGACAAATTATTTAACAAGGACAGGTAAGTCACTTAATTTGCCTGGAAACATAGATCTTCCACTAAAGCCAGGTCACTCATGATGACGTGGTTTCAGGTCCTTAGCCTTCACTGGAGTTGCACAGCACTCAGCTAAGGTGCGTGTCCGCTGTTTTGACAAGGCCCCAATGCCCACTCTCTTTAATATACAGTCCCTGATACTGGAAACTGATGGGCACACACACTCTCACACAAACCAAATAAAAAGCACTTATCCAAAGTGCTGCCCCTGCGGATATTCCAGCCACACTTGGCATTCCGCAACAGAATGCGAGCATATATGGGTGTGAATCTGATGTATAAGGCCACGCTTAAGGTGCCAATGTGGTCAATCCTGGCAAAACCTTAGCAAAAACTCCAGAATCTGACAGGTGACTGGCAGTCTTTTCACGTTTAGGTTGTGACATATGCAATAAATTGAATAACCTTAAGGTACATTTTTGTATAGGGAACAGTAGATTGAAGTGGAGTTTGTCTTTTAAAAAGTTGGAGTGGGTCAAATAGAAATCCCTACAACAATTGACCAATAGAGGTATAGCCTCCAAAAGGGTATCAAAGTATTCACCAATCATATATATACATACGCATGCATACTCATACAGACTAATAGAAACATATATACATATACACAGATTAAAGGTGGGGTAGGTAATTTTGGGGAAACCAGCTCGAGTGTGCTAGAATTTGAAAATACACAGCCGGAAAAAATCTGCCACTTCCTTACAGAGCCCCTCCTCCAACACACACGAACGCGCACATGACCAATGAGGGCACGAGATAAGTTTGTGCACAGATTGAAGGCTGACAGGCAGGAAAGCCATCCAGTTATTTTAGCCGGGCCGGCTGATTGGTCGTGCTTTTTACAGTACTACGGCTTCCACAGAGGACATTTTTGTATGGATTTTTTTGTCAAAGCACTTACCTACCTCACCTTTAAGAGGTATAAAGTATAGAAATAAAAAGTTGGCACAACAATTAATATATAAAGACAGCAGTCTAAACACAATATTGGAGAGAGATGAGTGTAAGTCTAGACTATTAGCCTAGACTTCTAAACGGAATAATTAATATATAACAGCAGGCAGCTGTGCAAACGACAGTAAATGCAACGTTTAGGAGTGCTATTGAGGGGCTAAGATCTGGTTCATTTTCATAAATGTCAGTTTGCATGTTATCTGTTGTTGAAGATTACAATGTCTTCTCCTCGAAAAGGCACTGTCAGATTACATTATGGGTTTTTGACACTTGTCTTTTTACCAGCAAATGTATTTAACAGACAGTGACAGCTAACGAGTGAACCTGATGAGATCTACATGTGTAATCTAGTATCACAGCATGTGACAGACAATGTAGTTACCAGTTACTACTGACAACCAAGAGCCACTGGTCTATTAAACACCACTCACCTGCATCAATAGAGTGTGAACCGTTTGTGTGTGCGTCTGTGTTCCCACAATGTTAAATAGTTTGTGACACTAAGATGACTTAAATTCTTTGGTCTATCTCTTCAATGAGTGACAGCAAATGTCTTTGAGTGTCAATTTGTGTGTGTGTGTGTGTGTGTGTGTGTGTGTGTGTGTGTGTGTGTGTGTGTGTGTGTGTGTGTGTGTGTGTGTGTGTGTGTGTGTGTGTGTGTGTGTGGCAGATCACATGTGCACATATTTATGAGCATATCACTTTCCCGTGTCATGCTAAATTACCCCCCCTGCACTAGTAATCCCATTAAGGCTAGCTCAACAGGCTAATAGGGGGAAGTAATGGGCCCAGCTATATGTATCTAGGGGAACACTAATAAGCCGTGACACCACTCCCACTGTTAATTACCCCAAACTAGTCTAAACAAAGGAATCAACCCAGTTGGAGAAGACACATACGCTCCATCGCCCACGTAGCAGTACACGTAACCAGAGACACACACATTAGCACTGCAAGTCAACAAGAATCTTTTCGGTGACGTAAACTCCTCTCACACGCAGATACCTCCCATGGTAACATTTTGATGAGGGCTTTTTGATAATGAGAATTGGATAGTGATGAGGAAGGAAAGTGTGTTTGTGTGTGTTTGTTTGAGTGTGTAATTAGTTGGTGGCCTCATGGAAGTATGTGTAATCATCTCCCATCATCACTTTCATCATCTAAGTCGTTGACTCTTTAACCCCTCTACATGTGTCTGTATCGATGGATAAGGGAAGCAGGGATGAGTGTGTGTGTGTGTGTGTGTGTGTGTGTGTGTGTGTGTGTGTGTGTGTGTGTGTGTGTGTGTGTGTGTGTGTAAGGGTGCAAAGCTTAATTAGCTTGCAATTGGTATTCACGCGTGGTGACTGCAGGGAATGAGTTAATTGCAGTCCAATTCAAACGTTGACACACTTTCAAAGTTTTTTCCCCTCTCCCTGTCTCCCTGACAGAAACCAATGAGGGGCTACAGATCACATTTATTAGATGAGAGCAAGTGAGAGAAAATGGGAGAGAGACAGCGATAGAGAAAGGGGGAGAAGAGAGGAAGACAGAAAGACAGAGGTGGATCAGAATTTAAAAAAGAAAAAAAGACAAGTGAAGGTGAGTAAGTAAGTACAATTAGTAGAATCCAATAATAAAGGGATATATAAAAAATTGTGGGTGAAAAAAGATGCATAGATAGGTAAAACCAATATGGTAAATTGTTTACTAACAATAGCAGTATATCTACAAATAAATAATAGTTTATCATGTCCTTTTCTCAAATATGGCACTGTAAATGAAAGTACAATCAGGTGTGTGGGTTTTAATTATAGTCAAGCTGGATGGAGAATATGTGGAAGACCCTCAACAAAAAGTAAAAATAAGGAACACTCAAACAAAAAAATATAATTAATAATAATATGTAATAATAGTAATAAAACCAACAAATAAGAGCAATGCTTGTTTTTGACACCTGTCAGTCAGTTTCTTTGTGCTCACAATTGTAAATAAATGTTACATACCTGTGGATCAAACAAAAAGTAGGGAAGTCCATTTTTGAGCTGAATAGCGAGGAACTCTTCCTGACTTCCTGGAGAGAAGGCACAGAGCAGCAGGCCGTCTGGAGACTGAGTCTTGAAACTCAACCCAACACCTGATACAAAACGAGATAGAGAAAAGAGAAAGAGATGTATTTCATTCTTTAATTTCCCCATAGGATATAATTTAACAAAATTTTATCATACATATCCAATATTTAAAAAAATGCAAAATCACTTTTAAAAAGCCTTTTATCTCCACCTGAACCACTTGGGGGTTAGTTATACGTGTGTTAATTGACCCTGGATATCCCTATGTTAAACTGGACCATTGCAATATCATTACACAATGTTTACTGTCCAATCTTAAACGAGGCGAGATGTGTGAGATCTGCATCTAGGGCCTTTTACTATCCTCAAATGTTAAGCCATGTAAACCTTGAATCCAAAGGTGAAGGTAAACATGACATCATTTTACAATTTGCAGATACAGCCCAATTTGTTCTATTTCAAAATGCTATAAAGATTGTATAGAAAAATATAGCCACCAAATGGAAAACACATTTAAGTTACAAAGATTTAAGGAATATACTGAGCCGGCTAACTGACCAAATAAAGGAGTAACATCGTATTCCAATACAGCTGTCCTGCCTCTTTTGTTTTAAAGCATACTGTGAAATCAAAGCTTCGGCAATGTGGGAAATGTGTAGGTTTCCCTCTAACACACACACACTCGCACAGAATTCTTCTAACGTGCTGTCTTGTCATGTTGCTATGGATCAGAGATTGGATCTTAATCCACTTCTAGATCCACATAGCGACACAGAGCATGCGATTTTACGTTTGCGTTTCCTCATCTCTGTCTGTCTCTGAAGAGAACAGAAGTGTGGGAAGATCTGAGGAGTTGAATGGAGGCAGTCCAGGGTTCATCAGAAGCCGGTGTTTGCAAAATAATTAGCGTGTGAATTCACTTAACATAAAGAGAAGTCAAACAGTTACACGGTAAACTCAAGATGAATACAAATTATCCATGTAGCTCGCAGCTTGCACACTATTTTGAATGAAAAATATCTGTTCCATGTTGTCCAATTGTTACATGTTAATCGAATGGTGTTACGCTAGTTGTTATAAAGCAAAACATGGTTAGAGAAATAAGCAGTGTCCCAGTCCTAGTAGCAATTACGTGTGTCAGAGTCTGATTTATTTTGGACTGGACAAAAGAATTACCGGCACACATGATGCAAGCATGCACTCTTTGAAAAACAAAAAAATCCAGTCCGGATGTGGCTTGAGAAAAACTATTTTAGTTTTGCCATAATCATCTTATATTAGTATGTGGCTCACAAGGTATCACAGGTTTGCCATTTCCATCTCAGGGCAGGATATAAGTGATTTAGAAGATTAACTGGGCATACTATACATGTGACAGAATGACAGGAAAGAATCATTGCACTTTCCTTGCAGAATCCAAGGCTGAAAAGCCCCTTGGATCTAAAAGGAATGTAAAAGTGGCTTCTTATAATGGTCCCATTTGGGCAGTACACTATGCATTGATTACCAAAAGTGCACAAAATAAATAGCTTTACCTCAGTTAATGAATTCTAAACAAGTCTACATGGAAATACATGTGCAATAATTGTGGTGGTAGTATGTGGCTAAGACAAGACCAAGAAGTTGTTTACATTGAACTTGCAGTCTGTGCATCAAGCAGGCATCCGTCATTTACATTCATGACCTTGTCACCACAGAGATGAGTGAAGTCATGACAGATACCTGACATTACATTACCCCCTTTAACCTTCTCTATGTCCCACTCTCCTGATTTCTCATTCCTTCCTTTCTTCCTTCCCTACGCTTTTAACCTTCCTCCCTTTTTTTCTTGACCTTTCCATTCCATCTTTCCCCACCTAATGCTTCATCTGAATATGTTTTTCTCTCCTTGCATCTTCAATTTTCTTTTGACCTCTTTCACTCCCAACTGTGCTCCTTCTCACATATCCTACTTTACTATTTTTCGTCTTAACAGTGTTGTAAACAGTTATCCATTGTTAAAAAGACAGCAGATGACATCAAAGTGAGCTTTTTATTGTGACGCAAACATAGGGAGGTACAGATTCTATCACACACAAACACACTCGCAACCAATTCTGTACACAAGGAAAAAGGCCCTTACGGCGCACACTCAAAGTATCTGACAAGAGAGAAACAGCATACTGCTTCATCAGCACAGAGGTTCATACACATGTATACAACGCAAAACAACTGAGGCATTCTGATATAACTTTATATAAAGATACTTGTCATGACACAGTGGTTTTGATTAAACATATTGTTAACAGTTAAATCTGCATTCACATTCATCACAGTCCCTTCCTGTAAGGCCAAACATCATTGTACTACTTTTAATATCCAATATCAATTAACAGGAATTAAAATGAGCTATATCAGTAAAGCATAACAAAAATGAAAGTGCATGCGAGACTCTTCAGGTATATAGGAGTATATCATTATATGTAGGTGTATAAAAAAAGGTAAATATATTTTGGGCAAATTTATATTTTTCTACACCCCTATGGTGCAACATCCTGAACTTTACTGGATGATGTTATTTTTTCACTATCTTAACATGGACCCGGAGCTCAAGTTTCCTCATGTCATGTGATGTTTGTAAATAATTATTCAAGATATCCAATCCAAGTCTTGCAGTGGCCAAAAAGCAGTAATGGTGTAAAATATTGTTGAAAAGTTGCTTTGACCCTATTTGCAATGGCAGATCGCAAGTACTTCCTGTATTGATCTTTGCTTTACAAATAATCGAGCATATCATTATATGTTTTCTTATTATAAAAGGCCAAGAGATGCATGCAAGGTCAGATGAATCAACTGTTGGTGTTTGCCTATAATGCAGAGCCTGTGTTTGTGAGATGTGCAATAAGGTAACATATGCCTGGCCGTGGTGTTTGGTCCAAATGCACAGCATCTAAGTGACACTGCTCGTGCTCAGCATTACTTCCTTCAGGTTTCCCCACAGGACTTGTGCTACTTCACACTGACAACCACTTTGGAGCCATCACCAGACAAACCTGAGCACACATCCTGACAGGTGTCTCTGTTACATATACAGAGTACATGCAAGCACACAAGCACATGCACAGTTCAACACACAGACACAAAACAGCAGCATGCACTTGTTCACCTGAGAGTGCACAACAACGCCTAACAGAAACACAAACGCTGCTAAATATAACAGTACATTTTTACACAGCAGGCCTTCACTCCTCACAAGTACAACACGTGTGAATGCGATGGACAACCAAATCATTTTATTATATTTAAATCGTATGTACTATATAGGATTAGTTCTAGCAAAATGTCACCTAATGGTCATGCCCAAAGCAGTGAATTCGACCACTTTTGTTGTCTCGTGGGGGGTTTGGTAAACAATCAACAATTGATAATAGGACCATCCTCTGGAAAGTATATATGTCTCATTACATTCTGAAATATTTGTTATGCAAATGGAAACACAATTTGGCCAAGATGAGAATATATGCTCATTGGCAAAGTGTTGAGATCAACTGACCAAACAACAGCCCAGACCTAAGGCCTCACAAATACACTTGCAGAAACATATTATTTAAATATATTTTTATTTTATTAAATTCACTTGGGATGAGTTTACTGGACAAGGCTCTATGTGATCTACAGAATGTAATATCAAATCAGCTCTACTTCACATCCGACCAGAACATGAAGAGCATGAAGGAGAGATGTTTTCAGAGACCTTTGTCCATAAACATTACTTGTGTTGTTTCACAGGAAGTTTATTTCATGAGCAATATATTACTCAATGTACTGTAAAGAACATTTTATGTCCTACAAGTACATAAAACCAATTATTCTCACACCATCAACTCTGGAGTTGTTAAGTGAGAGCATTTTATTGTTTGAATTGAGTCTTTTGTAAATTAAAATCATTTTATTGTCAGTTTATTGTTCATAATGAAGGTACTGTTCCCCTCTCTGTGTGATTTAAAGAGAATTACTTTCATATGTAAAACTAACAAGTGGCAATAATCATCCATTTACAGTTTTAAGTATAGTGTTATTTATAAGGGAGTATTGTTTCTTGTGTTATGGTATTGTTTCTCCTCTCTCTGTCTCGGTAAACAGTGGAGGTTGTGTGCAATCATCTACACAACATAACCTGAATAACTCCAGTCATGTTAGCTCTGCGCTGGCATTAATCAGAGCCTGGCGTATTAATGAGAGCGCGGCAGCAAGCTAATTACACCCATAGATTCTGCGGCAGCCCATTAAATATACAAATGACAGAATTAAAGAGCCCAGCCTCTTCTGATTAATCTTTAAATGGGGAAAAACTAATGATGTCTGTGCAAACTTTCCCTTCACACATTTCTCCCCCTCTCCTTTCAACGTCAACGCCTGGCAATCAATCATATTAATTAAGGAAAAATAATTTGTATCATTTAACATTTCCCTCTTTCCTGCTCAGTTGCTGCAGTGGTGCAGCAGCAGCAATATACTGTATTCGGCATGTCTGGAAATTATCCAAGTCTATTTGTTCCTGCATTCATTTATTTATTTATTTTTTCTAAACTATGTTTGTGATGTTTCATCACTCTTCATTTACTGTGGGTTGTAGAAATACATCTGGATTAGTGAAAATATGAGCAGGCCATCATCCTCTTTGCAATCAGCCCATTTCAGGCTCAAACACTGAAGAATTATAAATGAGGAGATAGGATTTTATAATCTGTTTAGAACCGTATCCTTAATTCAAAGATGAACAAGGAGAGCAGGAAGTCACATTGTAGCGCTTTGAGACTGAAGCATTACAGATAAGATGAATGGACTAACATGCATTTATGGAAACAAGCACTTACAGGGTATTCATATCATAGCATGATCGCATATTATTAGAATCCTGTTTTTATCTAAAGTAAGATTCAGTGTGGTAAATATTGACCCCAAGTACCCTAAATTGATTCAGCATTAGGAAGCATCGTTTATCACAAGTGAGCAGACATTATTATGGAATCATTATGGAAACATCCACTTCTATCACAACAACTGCATATGGAAAGCAACCTATTTGGCCAAAACTATTTAAGTAAAGTGGCTATAAATAACAGGTGAAAGGGTAAATATCATGTGATTTTACATGGTAATCAATCTTGATTCTAAATAAGATTTAACACAAAGAATATTGCCCTTTCTGAAAAATGTACCCTTAATACACATCTGTACGATAAAGACTGTAGTAACATCCTGTACGTTTGGAAACAACAAACTATTTATATTCCAAGAATGGAGCGGAATATTAATGGGAAAATTATGAAAGAACATTGATGGAGAAAATATGAAAGAATATTGATAGAAACGTTATGATCTACTGTTACCTATGGAAAGCCCTTTGTGATATTTTGATGCATTACAACCGAGGATGAAAAACAAGCAAACTCATCAGTAAAGAAAGGTTTTCGCAAGACTAAACTGAACGAAAAAGACTATCCAAAGATTTGACTTTTAAAGAATTTCTCCAGTTGTCATTGTCGGAGTTACTGGGTTTCCATAAGACATCAACGATTGACGAGTCTCTCCTCTGTGATCAATTGACTCTCGAGGGGGCATTACACTGCATTACATTCATAATCCAATTTGGCTTTGATTTGTTCGCTGTTCCATGCGCTTCGATGGGAATAATTGTCTGTAGATGATGCTATTAGTATTGATGGTTGTAAAAGGGCGATGGTTTGAGGACTGCCGACACATTCATGGTCCAGAATAGATCCGGTCTGAAAGTGATTGTCTGATCCATTACCCTTTATGAAGGAGGAGAGCGGAGGAGATGAGAGGCACCCCTCACGGGCAAAATCATCTATTTACTGGCAGTTTTCAGATATGTTTATTTACCTTTGCGCTAAAGGGGCATGGGTGAAATAAAATAGTCATATTTGGTTGATTTTTGATAAAAACACAGCGGTCAGAAAAAGAGCAATGAACAGGAACTGGGAGCCATGAACAAAGATGAAGAATGGAAGTAAAGCTGGTGGGATTTCTTAACTCATAACCACATTTCATTAGGACAACAGTTAATAGAATAACACATACATCAAAAAGGTAAAGTCATTTTGGAATTCTATGCTATAAATAGCTTGTGATCTTAAAGGTCCCATGTCATGCTTTTCCGGTTATTACCCGTCCCCTTGTGTGTTATGTAGCTTTTTCTGCATGTAAAAGGTCTGCAGAGTCACAAACCCTAAAAGTACACCCTGTAGCGAGTAAAACTCTAACACAGAAAAAAAAGAAAAGGAACGCCTCGTTGGGGATTTCTCTTCTTCCATTGTTTTCTTCCTGGGTACAGTGATGTGCCCATACCCAAATGGACCCATTGGTCCAATCCGTGGAGCTCCTCACACACACAACTCTTTTAGCGGCGAAAATGTGATGCGCTGGGGGGGTGCTAGTGGAGCCTCGCAGTGCGGCGAAACTGTGACACGCTTACACTGTAGGTGCGCCGCGTTTGGGGGTGCGGGGGGGATAGGGGTGATAGTGGAGTCTCGCAGATGGGGCTGCTGCAGACCCCTCAGCACCCCTCCCCCACTTCCCGCGTCCATTCGCAATCTCTCGCAGCAAGCAGCAAGCAGGAAACCACACCAGTAAGCCAGCTCACACTGTCAGCTCCTCGCAGCAGCGAGCCAGTGGGCGAGCTAACCAATCAGAGCACACTGGACTCACAGGGAGGGGGGGGGGCAGGAGCTCCAATAAGGCGTTTAAGGCAGAGAGTGAAATTGAGTGAATACACATACTATACAGAGATGCTGTATGAGGAAACCAATGTGAGTTTGGAAAATTGCATAATGTAAATCTATTCTAGTAGACCTCAACAATGGAATTATGATCAGTAGAAATGGCCATGACCATGACATGGGACCTTTAATATAGAGCAACATTTTAATAGATTACATGTTCTATCTCTTAGGGTGGCTACCAATTCAAACACACTCATTTCATTCTTTCTCAATTTCTGTGCGACCTTCAAAAGCCCTTTACAAAAAGAGAATTTTCTACTTACCACTATGATGCAGTAAAAAAAATACAAGCTATCTGTGTGCAGGGAAGCTCAAAGACCGCTCAAATATCCCACTCAGAGATCCTATGGCTCTCTTTAGTATTAAGACACTGACAATCTGTTATGGCTGAAAACTTCTAATATTTAAAATGTGAAACCAACAGTTCCCAACTTTGCCAGTGGCAAACATACTGTGTTTGAGTATTTTAGTTAGAAACAAAATGATGTGACAAAACAATGTGAGAGCTTTGTTGACTCACTTTCACATAAGGATAACAGATGCAAGTTTTATCTTGGAAATGTAAACGATTGCAACGATTCAGAAATATGGCTTGTCCACAAATAAATTCAAGTTTTAACATGGCTTGGAAAAGTTTTATCTGAGGATTACATTTAAATATATACTGTAGATAAAGAAAGATAAAACTGGTGTTAAAAGGTTTCTGCAGGACAGTGAAGAAATCTCAAGTGGCGTCAAAGAGCTTTGCCCACTCAAATCCCACTGATTAGTATCAGCAGTCATTAATTATGAGCGTCAGACTGGCTGATGTTCTGAGATGAAGCAGAACATGTTTGGCTGTGCAGCTCAACCCTCTAATGATGCTGGTAAACAGAAAGATAATTGTCCTTTAAGATGACTGGGGAAGTCATTCTCAAGAAGCGTCACTAGAAGACTGAGAGACTGCGGTAAGATCACCGAACACAAAAACATACCAGCAAACAGGTCTGGGTTTGTAAGCATGTGAACATACTCACTTTACTTTACTCACATGTACAGTATAAATCCATGCAGACAGACACGTCGTCCGTTTTTTGATACACACATTGATTTGCATGTACCCAGATATACTCTCTTACCTGTGAAGTCAGTGTTGGCAGGAAGGGTGTCGCTGGGAAACTGGTAGAAACTGTTTCCAGAGAATCTGGTTCCTCTGACAACAGGACCCCGTGGGTCAGAGAGAGAGACATCTATCCTCTCCACCTGTAAACAAATAAATGGTATACAATAATATTAATATACAGCAACAATACTCAAATCCTTACTTAAGGATTATATAATAGTAATCATGAACTTGTTATTTTGTTTTATTTTTGTTCCACACCAGCTTACTACATTAATTACAATGTATACTAAATCGTCCAAGTGCAGGTCCATATTTCAATTTAAAAGTACTAAAAAACACAATGTCAATAAGCCTATACTGTGTTCGAAAAGTATCTTACAGACCTGATACAGTGGGTGTGGTCCATTGAGTTGGGATGGGGGGTCCCAGTCTATCTGAATGGTGGTATCATTGACTGGATGTAAGTGAGGTGGAGGCAGTCCTGTTGGAGCTGATGAGACACAAGGTAGTTAAGAAATGTAAGTAATAACTTTAACAAAAGGGTTTTCTTTGTTAAATATCCACCTTAAATGTGAGCACATACTGTAGAAACACAATCCACAACTCTTAACCTACTCTAAGGCATTTTCTGATCTTGATATTATTTTTCTTTCATTAGAAAAATGTCTTTAGCTCATTTATCTCACACCTACTGCATGTCTAGACTGCACAGTCCAATTTTCATTTACCGGAGGGTCAATTTAATTTCCTTCTTTCACTTTAGATGTTAAATTAAATGTCCCTCTGAAACATACTGGGCGCCACTTGAGCCGTAGCTTCAACATACGTATCATAAATAAATCAACCGGAGACTGGCGGATATGAAGAGAGGAGATATATATATGAAGGGAGAGAGAAACATAGCAGGTGATGGACTGGTGTAGAGATGGGAAAGATGTGCGTGCATTAAGTGTCATTCCGTCGTTGTGCTTCTGTGTGTATGTGTGAGTGTGTTTCAGTAATGGTCTAAATGGTCTGTGGTAGGAGTAAATTAGCTTTCAGTGACACACATGCGGACCGTCTTAGTGTGAGTTCTAATAGAGCTCTTAAAAGGGAAGTGGACAGCTTGTCTTAGGCGGCTCATCTTGGCACATCAAACCATAAATTACTGCCAATCGATAGCTTACCAGTCTATTGAAATTGAGCTATGGTGACATTCAGAACATTGAAGGTGCCACACGCACACACATGCATTCACACGCACATTTTGGTAAAGTGGTGTACTTCTATGATCAGAATCAGAATAAGGTTGCCAAGTAGGTTATTCACTTACTAGGAATTTGCCTTGGTGTTTGGTGCGTACTTTAAAGATATTGAGATGAAGCATTTCATGGCTTGAATCTCTTTCTGTAGCAGACCTTTATCTGAGTCCTTGTAGTATGTTCACATGAGGCAACATAAGTATTTCCTGGGCTTCTGATTGAAACCCAGGGGCAAACTGGATAACGCTCTGCTGGTTTTAAGTTTTGATCAGACTGGGCTGACCTCCTGGAATAACCCTGGGAGACGTCGGACTGTGAGACTGCTATGTTACTGTTGGTCTTTTAACTGCTATTGTCACCTTTGAAGGCACTAACAATCAGTTAACAGAGAGTAGGTCTACTATACTGTATACGTGGGGGTTAGGCGATGATTCTTGATCTCTTCTCTTCAGAGTTGACTCCAGTTATTGTAAAATGTTGGTGAAGTTTATGAGAATAATTTCACATTAACAGCAAAAACTACATGTATGTGATCAGTGAACATTTAAAAGTGAAAGTGACATTGGAGTAATGCGACCACATTGTAAAAATAAGCCAAGAAAACGTAAATGTCTTTAGGTAAGTTTTAAGTGACAGTAGTTTGTTTGCATCGGTTTGTTTTTGCAGTGTTTCATTTATGCAGCGCTTTTAGTCCACGCTGCGCATGTTTCGTCAAGTTGGTGAAGATTTTTCTTGTTTGTGTTTCCCAATTCATGTTTTTTTATTTGCTATTATTTTTAAACTGCAGAGCATTTCTTGTTGTGATAATGTTTTGGGCCGTTGTAAAGCATTTGCACCTGTTGGCCAGTAAAAATAACCCTTTTAAAACAGATTTATACAAAAGTGGCAAAAATATATAAAAAAATATTATTGTATTTCAAATAATCTCTTCGGTGCTAACAGCCGCTGAAGTATTGTTGAGTGCAACAAAGTAACATTATTGGGGATACCGGTTGAGTTTATTAGAAGCAATAGCGTCATCAAAAACCAGCATTCTATCACCATATTTAAACAGACTCCAAAGGACAGTGTGTGTATGTTTGTCCGTGTGCATTGTGTCATACCAGACAGCTTTCCTTGTTGATCGATGAGATTCTAATGTGCTGTCCCCTATTCTTAGGGTGTCATGTATTCATTTATTGCATCTGCTTGTTAATTCACTGAAATGTACTTAACACTATGACACATTGAGTTGACGAAAGCCACTTGCCTCATCATGCGTGTGCTGAAACGCACACATGTACAGCCACACACAAGGTTAGCAGTCCACCAGAAAGGTTAATTTTAGCTGCCGACATGGTAATGAAGCAGCTAAATCATGGGCCAGCTCCCAGGAGCAATTGTGCATGTGTGTGTGTTTTCTGTTTTTACAGCGACTGATGTGTCTTAACAGGCTCTTAGCGTACAGTTACACCACGCACACAAGCACACCACTTATTGACATCGCGATCCCTTGCCATGCATATTTCTCCCCTCAAGAAGGGCCTCAGGCCAATTATGCGTAAATCAATAAAGTTCCTGTTCTGTTGAGTGGTGTTACAGTGGGAGTGTGTATGTGTGTATGTCTCTCTGTGTGTATGTCTTGTAGAACAAGTCTTTATGGATGTAGGATACATAAAACATCACCATCAGCCCCTGATTAGCCACTCACTTTACGTCTTGATCGATAACTTTTCGGAAAGACACACACATTGAAACAATTGCAAATGCATCCACACACATGGAGCGCAAGTGCATTCCTTGTGTCGTTACGTCTGTCTCAGTGTGCGCGCTAATGCTCAGTCATGTGCTTTGGTGTAACTCCAGTGGTTTCGCAGATGCTGTCTGCTCACTTACAGCAGATGGTAGCTGGATCTAATGGCCCAGCCTTATGTGGCGTAGATTTATCAGTGCATCAGTACCACGCTCAAGTACACCCTGCCAGGAGTACCACTTAATGTGAGGATCATTTCCTGTTTCATTCAGGAGATGTTCATTTCGAGACCAAATGTAACATTTTAGACAAATCAAGCAGAAGTTTTCAGTTTTTCTGTAGATTTCTACAAAAAATGTGGGCTTAAGATGTCAAAAATGTATTTTGGATAAAACCTAAGAAAATACTTTTAAACATATTTATTCATAATACATGTAGCTCTGTGAGTCTTACATCAACAGTATAGATTGAAGTGAGGTTTTACTCGGACTAAGATTTGTTTGGTTTTCTCTCTGCAAGGTTTTTCCCCAAAATTTAAATCGAATGAAATACTGTATACAGTATAACATGTTATAGTTTGAACAGACTGAAGGATAATCAAACAGATGGAGGCAAACACAGAAGTACATAAAACATAAATCCTGCAGCCACAGCTTTGTCAGAATGAAAGCATAAAATATATAAATAGATATTTTCTAAGAAAAAGTGATATGAGGCGTGGAGCTGCAACAGAAGCTCAACACCCAATGGAGTAGCACATGCTATGCAAATTGTTTAGAGATGATAAAAAAAATCTGCCAAACGGCATATGCCCTTATCATTTCTTATAGTTGAAACAAGGGACATCTTTGGCGTTGGATGAAACAAAATGGTGGGAACAGATGTGGCTGTTAAAAATACATTCAAAAAGTCAACTGGGTACAATAAGCCATATTGTATTGTACTGTATTACAGTCATGAGAAGTCTTTGGAATCACTTGAAATAAACATTGTCGCTGTGTCAACAGATGCAGCCATTAAAAATACATTAAAAAAGTCCACAGATTACAATATAAAGTATCATTCATCACAATAAACACAAGAATTGTTAGAAATGAAAATATTCGCTATGTCAACAGATGTAGCTGTTATGAGTACGTTCAAAAGCTCAAATCCCTGAGCAAGTATTTATAGATGAAAGGTTTGGGTATATTTTCAAAACCACTCAGCGCATCCATTGTCTATTTACCAAAAGGGATAAACAAAACAAAACAGAAAAAGACATAAAATGAGCAGCAAGAGCAGAGAGAGTTCATGAGTGAACAGATGGAAATGAATGTTGGGAGTCAGGTGTGCGTGTGCGTGTGCGTGTGTGTGTGTGTGTGTGTGTGTGTGTGTGTGTGTGTGTGTGTGTGTGTGTGATATGTGTATTTCAGAGTGATTCATGTTTCCCTGCTGCAATGTGCTATTTTGTGTTTAAGTGAAAGCGCCAGGTAGAGATGGAATTGAAGCATAGATGAAGAGAAAGTGTGTGACAGAGCAACAGACTGTCAGAGAGATACTGACGGATAAAGAGATTGAATACAAATCCTTTAACTGTGTGTGTGTCTATGTCATCCTGCACTGATCAATTAGTACTCATCTCAGTCCCATAGATTTTTGCCCGAGTTATTAAACACAGCCAATTCATTACCATTCCATAATGGTTATACATCTCAAAGAGAGATTGTATGTGTGTTTCTGTAACTCTGTGTGTGTTTGATTCATGGCCAGCAGGAAGTGTGTGCTACGCCACATTTTTCTCCTTGTAATTAACAGTAAATTGTTTTTACTGCCGCGTGCCATGAATATCCCCTCCGGTTAACACAACCATTGCTGTCTCCACTCAAGTACCCAATGACTGACTGTGTGCTTTTGGATACGTGTGTACATATGTCAGAGGCTTGTGTTGCAGTAGTTATAAAGAGAATAACCCCGCAAGTATTTTATTTTACTAAGCAGCTATTACATGTATCTCTCTGCAAAAACAATCAGCATCAGCATTTCCATGTTTTCAAATGTAGTTTTTATAAAGCTGATTACTGTTGCGAGGCCATTTGTACTTTTGTTTCTGTTTGTCTGCATTCATGTGTGTTTGTGTGCACGTATTCTTGTTTACCTGCTGGTAAGGTCAGTCCTGTGCTTGGCAGACTGGAAATGCAACCTGTCTTTGTGCAGAGTGTTACTGTGAAGTTGTACACATGGTAAGGCTTCAGTCCTTTCACCACATAAACAGGTGGTGACGATGGGCCCACCCTGTGTAAGACCTGAAAAAGTGCGAGAAAGAGGGGGAAAAAGTAGCAAGAAACAGGATTTATACACAATGACCTCAGTACTTAACTCTGTACACACACACTTTGACGTGTTAACCGACCTGACCACCCATACACTACAGCTGCACTATTAATTGTGTAATAACTGTGACCATCAGAAAACCATGATGATTAAACATAATCTTATAAAATACCAGTCATTTCATTTTAAGAGTGCCTGACAAATCAAATCACATTTCATTAAATTGTATGGCCAGTTAAAAGTGTTTGGGTTGATTACATATTTATTCATACTGTGGTTCCAAAACTTTATTGCAAACCGCAGGTAATAACATTTTCAAGAAAAGCATGATGCGACATCAGTTGTACTGGGGATGAGTAAATCCAACATCATTTGTCAAAAATCAAACAAACTGTAAAGCTTTTACCTTGACTTGACTTTGTCCTGATCATATTGTGAAAGGGATAGTGTGTGTTTGCGTCTTACCTGACTAATAACTGGAGGAGCATAGGGATTGTTGGTCTGTTCTGTGAGTAAGTTGACCCGATATTCGGTGACCTGTCCGCGGGCAATGACCCCTCGACCCTCAGCAGAGCTCCACACAACTTTGAGGCTGCTGGAGGACAGGGAGGTCACATCTGGAGGAGCAATCCACTCTGGGACTGGAAAACAACATGTGTATGAAAAGTAAACATCACACAATATATTTAGCCATTTATTAATGATACACTTTTCATCAACTAATCACATATTGTCATATTGTGAATGACAAATCATTTCAGGTATTACAACTCTTCTAAACATTTAAACAAAACCTGCAATTATTAAACGGGTCATGATGTATTGATTGTATTGATGCATTGATGAGAATCAATCAATTGAGAAATGTCACTAGAATTTGAGAGGATGTCCCTGTCTATTTGAACAGTGAATGGTTGAACCTAACTAGAAAAAATTGCAATCTTTACTTATGACTTACATTAGAGTATGAGGACTGGTATTGTGGAGGGCACACGCATGTATATATATATTTAAATCTTGTTTTTCTGTGGATTTACGGTACAATAACAAATCAGTCAGAAAACCATTGAAATACAGGACTGGACCTACTTTCTCATTAGTGATCTACCCATCTATTTAAAAGAGTATACCACCTCCCCAAGGGACCACAACACCAATTGATATGATTAAAATTAATTCTTGAAGAATATGCATTTTCTTTTAGATTATGAGAGCCTGAGACTAAAACCTTACAAGTAGTTAATCTCTTAGATTTAAAGAAGTGTTAGATACATTTTTCTTTGTATGCCATCTACTACTATTTAATATGAACCTTTGACAGTGAGCTAAATAAAAATAAAATACTAATTTATACACAGAGACATAAGTAAGAAATTGAGACTTCTTGGATATTATGTGGATTTAATGGATTTAAATATTTCATAATTCTACGGTAGTGAAAGCCACCATTACATGACAGATTAGAGAGAAGGGATTCTTTTATTCCTCTGTTGATGGCATCTAGCTGTGAAATATGCTGTGAAATGTGATTCATGGCAGACATAACCACAGTCACATTCTTCCTCCCTAACTCAGCGCACGCACGTGCACAAACACTGACACACTCTCCACATATAAAATGGTGTTATCATATGCTTGTTATCCAGACACATAGCTTAGAGTGATGTTGGAGGCAATCGTTTAGTCCTAATGAGCCATATCATCTATTTGAAATTCAAATACCTTAATGAGTTTCCCCTCCCCACAAGCAGTTTTTATTTCCTCCCTCCTTCCTCTCTCCTTCCTCTCTCTACATTCTTTTTGACAAATGCCTGTTTTTTTATTTAAAACAATTATTTTTTCATTAGATCCATCAGTACACATTTTGACCAGAACACCATTTGATTACATTACTCAGAGCTCTGATTTAACTAATCATTTTAATGTTTTTTGCCCTTAATTTGTGCTGTATTTTATGCTTGAGGAAATGTCAACACCACATAATTGATAAATCAGTTTATATAAAATATTTTATTCTAAGCAAAGAAGCAGTCAAATGTAATATTCAGATAAGAAAAACAAATTTTTATCCTGCTACTTTCTTACAGGTTTACTCTCTGGCCTGCCTGCCTACCTGCTGCTGAGTAAAACACTGTGCAATGGTACAACCATTTCAACATCAAAGTAACAATATTCTCCCCTGTCAAGCATCACTCTGGGGACATCGACTAAATGCATGTTGGAATAACTTAAGCATCCTTCTTTTCAATATTAAATAATACATTTGCTGTTGTAAATATACTGTTTAATATATTTAAAAACAGCTATTATTGAAAGAAAGAAGGTAAACATCAACATAACAGGGGATTCCAAACCTTTGAATGGTGGTGTATATACTGTATAAACATGACATTTCAAGAGAGACCTTGTGAGTATGAATTATAGACCAACGCAGGATTTTTATGGAGCAAGCATCTAATGGCCACGGGAGAAACTCCAGTAAAAAGGCAAATAGTCTATACTAAAAACCCTTACAGTATAGCTAAAAATATTTTTGCTATCTGCAGGTAAACGCTCTTACTGCTGACTATAATGTCATCTGACTTTGACTAATGTCTAATCCCTGATGGTAAAAGAACAATTAAAAATATCAATCTACATAGTTGAAATGGATTAATCCCTCAAATGGACCCCATGAGAGAATAACTAAATATCTATGTAAACTCAGTTCAACCACAATCATGATCTATACTGTATACTAACCTCCCTCCATGGTGCGTGCTGTGGTCCAACCTGATGTGACACTTCCTGCCACATTGATGCTCACGACTCTCATCTGATAGGTGGAAAACGCCTCCAGATCGTCTACAGTGGTGCTGCTCTCAGGGGGGGGGACTGTGCTCCTATTGGTTAGCTGTGCCTCTGGAGAAACACTCAGATCCAGCCATCCAGCGCTGACAAACACTCTCTTTTCATCAGCCGGACCAGAAGAGTTCTGTGTTCCCATCGGTCCGCGCAGAAAGACCTCATACCTCGTGATAACACCTGTAGAGAAAACAAAATTGTTATAAAATGAATTTGCACATTTCTATTTCTATTTCCAGTCCAAGTCCAAAACATGTAAGAAATGATCATGTGCATTTAAAGCATAATTCAAAACTATATTTTCAGCCCTAAGATCTCTAGTATGCTATGATAAACCATGTTTTCGTAAATACAATAAACAGGGCCAAGTCAGGGAACAAACCCACTAAGATTTCAGTTGAATCAAGTTGAACATGGAACTAATGACAGGGGAAATTAAGAAAGTAGACACACAGAAACCCATGTAACGAGGCTTTTTGTGGCACTTTGAGGGAAAAAGATTAACAAAGACAGAAAAAAAAGAGACAAACAGAGAGCGGAACCTCCGGGTTGCAGGGCTTTGTATGACACTGAGCCTTAGAGCCATTACAAAGCTCTCTGGATTTACTAAAGGCAGTCCCAGTTCAGTGCGTATTGCCGTGTGTGTGTGTGTGTGTGTGTGTGTGTGTGTGTGTGTGTGTGTGTGTGTGTGTGTGTGTGTGTGTGTGTGTGTGTGTGTGTGTGTGTGTGTGTGTGTGTGTGTGTGTGTGTGTGTGTGTGTGTGTGTGTGTGTGTGTGTGTGTGTGTGTGTGTGTGTGTGTGAGTTGATTCCCTTGCTGTCTCATGTCATTGACACAGGCCTAAAAGCCATCCTGCAAGGCAAGTGTTCTACTGTATGTTAGTTAAAAATGTGTGTTGTGTTTGTGATTACCCTACTTGTATTATACATTTATACATTGACATGAATGTGTATATATGTATACTGTATTTGTTAAGCCATGTCATTCTAACATATTTCTGATGAATATGTATCCATGTGTGTATTTTTACAGTTTCTGTTTGTGCATGTTTTCTGTAGTTCTACATCTTTAGAAAATGTAGGGGTCCTACCATTTGGCTGACTGGGGGGGTCCCAGGAAGCATTCAGAGTATGCGGTCCTGTAGCAGTGACTCTGGGTGGTGGTTGGTTTCTTGGGGGGGCAGAGGCTGTCAGAAGAGACAGTGGTTGGGTAGATGTGCACCCCCCAGAAGAGCAAGCCTGCAGACAAGGTTAGCTTTTGGTCATTTTCATTTTGTAGGCTGTAACTTCCTGAACATTTTCATCGGTTGTGGCCCACGCATACTTGAAATATACTGTTAAAGATACATGAGCTTTACACTATGTTTATTTTGGGGAATTTGGTACAAATAGGCTACATTTTGCAAAGAGATACAAAGACTTTTAACAGTAGCAGATGTTCGCCCTACGTACCTCCAGCGTGACAGTGTATTGGGTGAAGGGCTTCAGACCGCTCACCACAGCCTCTGTTGATAAGCCTGTGTAGTGAACGACAGGCTCGGCTCCTCCAAACTCCTGTGAGGATAACACAAACCTGTGGGAGACAAAAACTGTGATTCACAATACACCAGTTCACATGGTACTGTAATGTGTTTCAGTTAGAATATAGTGCTGGGATGTTACAGTGGCCTAGGGGCTGAAAAATGTATAGAACAGTGTAAACAGCAATATCCTTGATTTAAATAGTAGGCAGCTTCTGCCCACATTCCTGTCTGGCTATTAACAATACATTATATGTCAAAATGCCCCAAAGTTAAATCAAACTGAAGGTTCCTCATCAATTTCAGTAATTTAACAATCATGCTTTAAAGGATTATCCAGACTTATTATTTTTTAACACAAAGTGTATATCCAAAAGGGACTTCAATATATCACTTATAAAAGTTTTCTCCAAGTCCAGTCATAATTTAGTTCGTGTACACTCAGGCTGTAATAGTATGTTATAAAAATGATAATTTACATTGATGATTACAATATTTTCAGAAGTCAGTTTCAGTCAGAAGCAAAACATAGAATAGTGTGAGAATCTAAATTCTGACTTCTGTCTAAACATCCCCTCCAGCCTTTCCTCACCTCTCCACTGGGCCTGTATCATTCCTGGGTGTGCTCCAGTTAAAGCTAGCGGTGGTTGGACTGGCGCGTCCCACAAGGTTTAAATGGAGATGTTCTGCTTCAGGGGGTGCACCTAAAGTTTGGTATGATGCTGCTGCACTTATGGCGGCACCGACCACATTAGCTGTTATTACCCAGTAAGAGTAGTTGCTATAAGGAAACAAACCGGTGTCTTCAAATGATTTAGGGCCTGAAATGAAAGGGGGCAGAAAAAAGTATGTAGGGAAATGAATTTGGAAAACAATGATTGCTTCATGTGCATTTGAGATTGTAAAAGGATTAAATGTGTTTTAAAATGATTCACAAAGTACATGGCAAGACAAGAAATGCAGGTACTGTACATGAAGCAAAAGAAAACACATATATAAAAAGGTACAAGGATAAGGTAACCGTTAAACAGGACATCAGAAAACACACTTACTGAAAGGATAGTGACTCTGGATGGTATGCACTGACTGTCCATCTCTGATGAGTGTGTAGTTCAGTCTGTTGGAGTTTGGGGAGTCAGGTGGGTGCCAAGAGAGACGAATGGAAGAATAACTGAGAGCAACACCCACTGGTGCCGGCTGCTGGAAGGGTTCTGCAGACAGCAAAAAGAGTGAAAGAAATAAACAGTGAGATATAGACACACACAACCTAAGTAAGTAAATGTAGCAAGACAATTGTTTATACTTAGAGTACCTTTATATTTTGTAAATGTGTTTCTAGTGTAAGCAATACGTTCCCTCAAATCAGATTACATAGGATTAGTAACATGATTTTATATCAGGTTCAACAGTACAAGTAAAAGTCAGTTAGCTTAGCGCTGGAAACAGCTAGCCTTCAAGTCAGTTTGCGTGGATTTGTGCTTTTGTGTGTATGTGTGTGTTAGCGTTTAAAACAGACCTTTACTGCAGCCGAAGTGATTCTCACGGTCGAAACGACTCGCTCCGGGTTGACATTTATTACACTTGTCTCCAGTTACCAGCAGCTTACACACACACATCCCAGAGTCTGGATGACATGAACCATTGGCACTGCCCAGCGGGTCACATGCACAAGGCTCACATCTGGTCAAGCAGAGGAAAGAAAGCAAACTTTTTCAGGAGATATTTCAGGATATTTTTCTAACTGGAAAAAAAACAACATCAACACACCTATCAAAAATTACCAGAGCTATGTTGGACAGTTTCAATAATAACTTTTAACTTTTGAAAAGCTTATGATTAAAAACAAACAACTACAAGTTCATGTATTTATACATATATGTATTTGAACTTAGTATTGTAGATGGCAGGCCAAAGAAAAAGAGAAAGAAAGTACACTTTTTAAATGTATCTGCATTAATGTGAAAAGGTTCAAAGCTAACTGGTGACTGAGTATGTGTGTCTGAAAGGTGTGGGGTCTTCACCTTAGCACTGTGTGGAAGACCCCTCACTACCGCCCATCCCACCCATAATCATCCCATAGCTGTGAAACTAACTTCACAGAAAATGCGAATTTCCCCTCAGAGATGACAAAATGTGTGTGTGTGTCTGTGTTTGTGTTTGTGTGTGTGTCTGAGTGTGTGTGTGTCTGAGTGTGTGTGTGTCTGAGTCGGACATTGTGTGCGTGTGCGTGTGTGTGTGTGTGTGTGTGTGTGTGTGTGTGTGTGTGTGTGTGTGTGTGTGTGTGTGTGTGTGTGTGTGTGTGTGTGTGTGTGTGTGTGTGTGTGTATGTGTCTGGGTCACCAGTGTGGTGTTACCCTCACTGGGGCAGGGCAGCGGGTGATTATCCGGCCAGCCACCTCACACCTTTACACAGTCATGCATGCACATGCAAACACATGCACACACACACACACACACACACACTATCACATGTACTTGTTGGAAGATGTTTGGCTCCCACTCACATACAGAGTAGCTCTGTACAGTATAAAGTAAACCCTGTTACTGACACACTCTCACAGAGCATTTTTCTTTCACACACACACACACACACACACACACACACACACACACACACACACACCTTTTTTATTGCTGTGTGAAAAGCCACAGCCTCTTAACGAGCCGCAAATTTGTCCTGTCAACTAGTGCTCAAATGCACACACAGACACATGCTCAAAAACACACAATTACAAATACACACATATGCCATATTGACTTGACCTTCACTCCATTACCAAGGAGAAAGAAAACACCAACATCACACCCATTCTCTCCTTTTTCATCGGCCTCAAAGTACTCTATGTGTATGAACGAGAGAGACGGTAATGTGTGTGTATTTAGTGAGATATAGCATCTGAATAGAAACAAGCATTTAACGGTCACATAACATTAAATTGCCACAATGATATTTTGTTATGTAATACTTATTTAATTAATACTATATTTATTAAGTTACTTTCAAAGACAGTTAGGTTACAACAACATACAATATATGTAAATGTAGAAGTATTGGATTATTACATGTGTAATCCCTTGTAATAAAATTATGTGTGTAAGTGAATGTGTGTATGTGCCAAAATCTAATCCCTGCAGACAGAATTACCATCATATTTCCCCGTGATGAAGTTAACACCGGTCAGTATTTTCTGACCCGGTTCTCCATGGAGACACATAGAGACACAGTACCACAACCAACCAACTGCTCACACATCAATTTGTGTGTGTGTGTGTCTGTGTGTAAATTCATTTGAGCAAAGCCTATTGATTGAAGAGGAAGGATAAATTACTTGATGATATTTAGATGAAGAAATCCTTATTATGGAGCGACTATGGGCACAAGTAAAGCATTCAGCACTAATAACCTCCCACTTTATTTATCATTTTTCCAGCACAATAAAAGAATACAAGACAGTAAGGCTTTGATTACACCAAAACGGCTGCTTAAAAATGGCAAAACACGTGGAGTATGGGCTGTGATGCTCAGGGTAGGGTTGGGGGGTGGTTCAGTTTGCTACTTAATATAAATAATGGGGTGCCCTTGAATTATATAGTTCACTGTAATTAAATACAGCTCATTTCAACCTCTCGTCTGCATTTGCCATTGCAACTATCCTACCATATCTTAAGGCATCAAAACAAGAAGGAAGTGGTGGAGTAGTAAAGCCTCCCTCTTGCTAAGTGTGATGTTGATAAAAGTGTCAGGCTCTATGTTTTGCTCTAAAATATTTAGAATATTTTAACTTTAATTCATGTGTAAAACCAAGAGAAAAACCCACTCAAGAAATGCACTCTGTAGCAAGGAATTTTTTTTGCCAGTAACCATGTGGGCCTTAGAACATCCCCATCCATTTTTTATTTATTCCACTCTTTCCTCCCCCTATTTCTTTGTTAAAAGTCAACTCTTTATCAAAGTTGTTTTTTCTCCCTCCTTCCATCAATCTACCCCTCTCAGCTGTGAGGAGATCTCAGCCACAGCCTGAACACAGGGGAATACAGCTATCAGGCAAGGTCAGCTCACATACACATGGAAAAAAAACACACAGTTACTCAGTGGACCACTAGTCAAACAGTTTGTGGATTATCTGTCTTTGCCAGCCTGTTGAGAGGAATTTATGTCTGTGTGCGCACCAGTACTGCACACGGTGTAACAGTTACATTTGTGTATGTGTGTTTTAAGTTGTGTGTGTGGTGCTGTGTGTGAGATAGCCTGCAGGTAGAGACATGAGCGGTAAAGGTCAAAGCAGCTCTTAACTCATGTAAGTCATATGTCTGCCCGCTAATCTGTAAACTGTCCTTACAGAGTCTGCACCCGCTGCTGTGTGTGCTCGAAGGTGGAGCTGTGTGTGTGTTCGTGTATGCGCAGGTGGTGCAATTGATTTATAGTCTGTACAAACTGCATATATGGTATTCATCTGTGTGTGATTGCCTTTGTGCGAGTTACCTTCCCAGGCCGGGGTTGAATCCAAAGAACATCTCACGACACTGGTCACAGCGCCGTCCTCCCACTGAAGGATGGACACACACACACTGTCCTGTCTGCCTCTCACAACCCCGCTGCGCTGCTCCCATAGGATGGCAGTCACACTCCGCACACACACTCTGATCTGGAGAGAGGTAAAAGCCTAGACCAAAAAAAGAGACGAAAATCAAATGGAAAAAAACATTTTGAATTTGGTTAGTAGTCTGCCATTTCCTTATTCTGCCAACAATCATGTGCATTGGGGTTTCATTAACCATTTATTTGTAATAAAATGTAACACAAAGCCAATAGGTGTGTGTGAGGTTACATTAAGCAATCCAGGTTCTAAAGTTCGCTGTAAATCAATTCAGTTTATATTTCTCAACGCTAATATCGTCCAACAAACAAATTCGATAAATTCTATTAAACCATCCTAAACTGACAGTTTAGGTAATGAGGGGGGAGCTGTAGGAGGTTTAAGTATATAACGGGATAAATGATCTTGGCAAAGTTGTTCATCTATGTTACCATACGACAGTAATTAATATTGCCTTAGTTTTTATTTTCGGGCTATTTCAGATAAAATTATGATTATTTTGTGTCTTCTGATGCTCTTTTTAACATCTGTCCATCAATACATCCATCACAAAAACCCTGTACAAAAAAACCTGACTATGCTGTTGGTCTTACTCCATTACAGACACAATACAACATCTGTTACCGCTTGTCCCATATGACACACACACACACACACACACACACACACACACACACACACACACACACACACACACACACACACACACACACACACACACACACACACACACACACACACACACACACACACACACACACACACACACACACACACACACACACACACACACACACACACACACACACACACACACACACACACATATGAGGTAATGCACACACAAAAACCAAAGTGAGATGAGTGAGAAGAAGCAATTTCCCCCCTCTATGGTGCTGTTGTTAAGACCTGGCACAAACAGGACAATCACAGAGTGGAGATCTGGCAGAGGGCATATGCCAACACATACACTAACCCACACCAGCACACAAGGAAACACACTTAAAGTAGCAACCATTGTTCTTCACCTTTTTCAAATTTGGTTGAGGTAGTCTGAACTTTGGTCAGAAATGTATCCACTTTATTTAATCATTCCTTGATTGCACTGTCAACCTATGTTATTGTAGAAACACTCACCAGGTCGGCAGCTACTGCAGTCCTTTCCATAACGTGTAGGGACACAAACACACTGCCCTGTGGTGCTGTCACATACTGACCCCGCCACTATCCCTCTGAGGTCACAGACACATGGCACACAGCCTTGGGACAACCTATCTGTTCGACACAAAAAAGAAAATTGAAAGCAGAATAGATCAGGACGTTTCCTACAAAGTTTCATTACGTACACAACAAAACAAACGATTAACAACACACAAATTATATTTCTAGAGACAAAAGTCCTTATATGAGGTTAAAAGAAAACATAACATGCATTTTGATTTCAAATACAGTAGCTCTGATGTATCTTATTTGATTATACTTGTCAAACTATACAGAGTCTGACATTTGTTATTGTTTTTGAACACCTTTTCTGGCCCTCTCTTACTTTGGAGTTGTAAACTTCTGTTGTAGTAGTTGTGGGCACAATTGGTACACCTTGCTCCCTCCACCCCTTCTCTGCACGGGCATTGTCCGGTCCACATATCACATACACCCTCGGGCACAGTGCCATGGGTGTCACACACACACGGCAGACAGCCCAGGGAGTTTCGCTGCTCCAATGTATGGTAACCATGAAGGCAAACTTCACAGAGCCGGCCTTCCACATGTTCCTAAAAAAGAAAGGAGAAGTCGAGAAGGAGGGATGTTAAGTGTTAAGTAGTTGTATACACTATAAGTGAACACAAAAGCTGTCTGGATAAGAATTGCCAATAACGTATTGAACAGGTCAGTTACTAAATAAAGTTGACAGTCTGTTTTTATCACAACTTGTCTTAACCCGATGGCATTGGCATTGTCTATTTGTCATTTATTTTCTGATCAGATGCCACATTGTAAATATGAATGGATTTACAAAGTCAGACAGCTGTGTAGATCAAACATGGAAGTCGATAATCAGGTGATAAAAGAATGAATTAGAAAAATCATGGGTTAGAAAACATGAAGAGAAATGATCCAGAAGGGTCACTTGCTGCCTGATGATAAGCGAACATTTCATCATTTGACATGGATGTATCAGACAGAGGTAAGTGTCTCTACTTTTCATCTGCACAGTTAAAGAAGGCTCCCAACAAAATAATACTGTACAAAATAGAAACCCTTTATCTGACCCTTTGTCCTTATCCCTGTAGTGTATGTAAGCCCATGATTTATGTTGCCTTCTTCAGTTAAAAAACTAGACAGCTTTTTATTTTTTATTACACTCCAGTTGCTTGATATCTTACAGTAAATGTATGTATTCGGTTTCCTTTGTCAGAACTTAACTGTTACTCGTTGACCACCAGAGCCATTGCAAGCTGGAAACCCCAATGGTTGACTTTACATTTAGAAATAATAATAAAGTTATAAATACTTGTTAACTTGCCTTACACACACATTGTCCTGTGTGAGGATCACAGTCTGTCCCAGGTACGGTCCCTTCTTGTGAGCAGTTGCAGGGGGCACAGGATCCCTCCAGTCGTAAACCATATGACCCCCTGCCACAAGAATCACAGCGCTGCCCCCCCACCCCGGGCTTACACTCACACTGCCCCCCCTCAGGCTCACAGTACGGGCTGAAGGAGCCCAGGGGGTCACAGTCACATGGGACACAGCCGTCTGGGTGGGACAGGTTCCAATAACCAAACTCACAGCGGTCACAGGAAAGACCTGACAAAAAAAAGAGAGGGGTGGGGGGGCATTTATAGAAATGTTGAGGAGAGTACAGAGTGATATTTTGAGAAAACTAGAAAGGAAATATAAATAAAGTGAATTAATGTTTGTTTGTTCACCAACTAGCGCTTAGCCTCTCTCCGTTTGCTGGTTTGTGTGTGTGTGCGTGTGTGAGTGGGTGAGAGAGAGAGAGAGAAATGGTGTGTGAGTGTATAAAACTGCCATCATTAGGGCCAGGCCCTCTACATATGATGGATCACTCACCTAAGGCCAAACACTTAATTTCACTGAGCGGGAAAATAAATAAATTAAACAACTACAAGAATAGGATGGAGGGAGAGAAAAAGACGAGATGGGGAGACGAAAAGATGGATACTGTACATAAAAATAAAAACAAATTGGTGTAAAAAGATTTTTTTTTTACTCTGTTCGATGTATAGTACTTAAAGAATAACAATCTAATTATACTTGTGGCTAAATTATATTTTCAAAATGACTGATTATTAACAGTTTTCACAATATTGTGTTTTGTAAAACATAAAATCCAAGAATGCAAAAATGCAGCTTATCATTAAGGAGTTACAGTAAGTATGAAACTGTAAGAATTGTTTACTTTAAATATTAACATCTATAAAGATTTGTAATACCAGAAACAGCCTAGCAGTAAAGAATGTGAAATGAACCGATAACAGTATCACTTCAGTTGCTGCTCTTTTTATTTTATTTTTATAATTATTGAATAATTACAAACACCAAAACTGTGGGAAGTTTTATGGCTCCAGCAGCAGTGCCCGGCTATAAGGCCAGTTAAACTATGATATGCAGTGTGAGCGAGCAGGGCTTATTTGAATATGCCATACGTATTCCATGACAGGCAATCTGTCCCTAAATGGATGCCTGGGGGCAGCGCAGTCACCACAGCCGTTTATGAGGGAGCGTGTGTTCATGTGCGTGGGTGAAAATGTGTGTGTGTGCTCATACATTTATGACAGAATATCTGCACATCTGTGTTAGTGCACATGTGTGTGTGTTAGTGTGTGTGTGTCCTACTCAGTGTGCGGCAGACACTTGGCATTTCCCCTGGTCTGCCCACTTTAATGATTTTATAGATATGAATGTATTTCTCTCCATAGATCATATTTCATAATAGAGCAGTGTGTGTGTTGAGGTATGTGTGCACGACTGAGTGTACTCATATGCAGAGAAACAGAATGATTCTTACAACCTGAACAATCCCGTAATATATTCTTTTAGATTTGTTTTTTTGCCAATAAAACTATAGTTTATTAAAAACCACACACCCACTATAAGCAGTGATAATATGTTCCATTCATATTTTACACATTAAGCAGCACAAGTTGGCATTTGCAAATCCTATTTTTGCTGCTAATCTGTTGATAGCAAATTGCACAGTCCTACTAACACAATAGAAAAAGTGAGAAGAGAGAAGAAGAGAAAGAAAAATCAGAAGATAATAAAAAGGAAGGAAAGGTGAGAACATTAGAGAACAGAATTTGTTAGAACAAATTAGATCAGGGCAGAAAGGAGGTAATTTTGTGTTTAGGCGTGCGTGTTTGCCCGCGTGCATGTGAGTGTGTGTTTTCGGGACATGGCCCAGCCCTTTTATCAGTAGCCAGCTGGTTAACAGGCTCATGCATCACCATTTCAAACACTATTATGAACACACTGCACTCTGGCACCTTGTTATGAATGTGCATGTGTGTATCTGTGTGCACACATTTCAATTCCCTCCTTCTGAAGCGTGCCTGCCATTGCTCTACTCAAAGTATCAGCTTGGCGGTAATAAATTGCCATAATCAAATCTCATTTCGGAAAAATACCTGTGGGAGCAACCAGACAAACAAGGATGGAAAAAACCGGAAAGTAGGTCTTGCAAGACGGAGTGTGAAAAATACAAGGGGCTGCAGCAGTTTGTTTTAATCAACTTGGCATTGAATTAGAGAATTAAATACCAGCTTAGTCCTTGATGGCATGCATGTGCGCGCACACACACACACACACACACACACACACACACACACACACACACACACACACACACAGAAACGTACAATCTTACAATACAAACGTTAGTCTAAGACAAAAGTAGATGAACACACGGTCACATCCAGGCACTTTCTCTTTTACATACACATTAACATAAAAAAAGACACACATTAACAAGTTCAGATACACATTCCCGCACAACCGTGGGCCCTTGATAGCGAAGCTTAGCAATAACCATGATGCGTTGCGTTGAGGAGCGTTGGCCGGTTTTGCATTTCATACGAGCCTGCTCTTCAAAGACACACAGGGGAGAGAGTGAAACCATTTATCACAAAGAGAAGCACAACCACTGGAAGCACCCCCAGCAGAAAAGCCTGTTTATTTTGGCTGGCAAAATACTGTGGGATGTGTGTGTATGTGTGTGTGTGTGTGTGTGTGTGTGTGTGTGTGTGTGTGTGTGTGTGTGTGTGTGTGTGTGTGTGTGTGTGTGTGTGTGTGTGTGTAGGACGCAGTTACTGGACAATTTGAAAGAGTAACTGAATTAATGAAAAGTATAAGTTATCAACAAAGTACTTAGGTACATTTTGTGAGAGAAACAATTTACGAGAGCACATTTGGAGTGGACATGATTGCGGCTGTGGTAACATACTAGGGCCTGAAGATATTGTTGATATTGACCTTAAGAGTTTCATCTTAATTAAACCCCTACTCAAAATGAGGTTGCCATGCTTGTATAGGTGGAATTTAGGGAGATGGTATGAAATTCCATAGTTGTTACACTGCCTCAAAAAGTGTATTGACAGCAGGAGGACAGACACAGCTCTGACACACATGATTGTTGAGAAATACACCACAAAAGCAGAGGCAACCAAACTTCAAATATGTTGTTTAGATACAATTCATTTCTCACAAGAATCTCAGAATTCATGTTTTATCTGAATTGTCTGTTTACCTGTGACATGGAGTTTACACTGGCAGAGTCCTGTGTACGGGTTGCAACTGTGATCTCCTTCTGTTGCGTTGTTGATGATGCCAAGGTCACTGCAGTTACAGCGGGTGCAGCCGTTTGGATTCGAGGCGGTAAGACCGTACCATCCAGATAGACAGTCTGTACACCGACGACCTGTTACTGCGACCTTACACTGACACTGACCTCCTGCCTGTACGCCAGAAATAAAGAAGAGAAGAGGGACAGGCAAAAACAAGAAGATTTTCAACCAGCCTGAAAACGTTGAAATCACATATTTGAAATGTAGGACCCACTCGTCACCACCAGTTTGCTGTTTGTGTTGGGTGTACCTCGGAGCACTCCTTGCTGCTGTTGACTGTTCCAGGAGTGTTACAGTTGCAAGGTTGACACAAATCCCCTGAAGTGGGATCAGATTCCTCCAGCCAGAAAAATCCACTTCTACACAGCTCACAGTTTTTACCTGAGAGACAGAAAGAGAGTAAGATATAGAGCAAGAAAGTCAAATGATCAGGTACAATTCCTAAAGGGATCCAGAGAGACATTCATGTCAAAGACCATCCTTCGTTGCCTCATTAGGAAAGTCATCATAAAAAGGTGAGTGACAAACACTTGAGCAAGGCACTAGGCTAATAAGCAGCATGAAATACTTCATACATGTAACCACCTTCCAAATGACCACTGCCATCAATTCCAAATTAGTTTTATAATAGATAATACCCCATAACCTTCTAATTTCACCTATTACTGCTGAGAAGACCTTAAACAGTAAGGATAAGGCATCCATTTACAGTATATATATTTATTAAAACTATCCAATACTAAGTTGTGTCGAACGGTATTTGTCTTTATCTGTTTTTACAAAAATACCACACTTTTCTGTTTACATGGCTGGCTAAATGTAAAGAAATAACAGCAAAAAGACGTTTTTTGGCTCAAAATCTTGAAATAATAAAAAGGAATTGTGAAGGATTATGATACACAGTCTTTAATTGTTTCAAAGTTCTTTAACTTTAAGGTTGATTGAAGAGACATACTGACAAAATGTTTTTATAAACTTTGAATAAGATAATTATATAACTTGTATCGCTAACCTGTGGTGTTGTGCATGCAGTGGTCACAGACCCCTCCTCCTCCTCGATAGTGCTCATCAGGCTGTTCATCGACTCCCTCATCGTAGTGACAGGAGAGGGCGTGGCCGTGACACTGACAAGGCCGGCAGTTCATAGGCTGGAGCTGGTCACCTGACCTGAATGGCTTGTCATTGTAGAGAGGCGCACAGCGTTGGCACTGTTAAGATAAAAGCCACATATTGTTTATAAATACAGACATCCATTTATTTCTTTATTTATGTATAAGCTAACATACTGTTTGTATCTATAAGCTACCAAACTGTTTGCTGCAAAAATTATTTCTAAAATAATCAGACCTTTGTTTTAACCCTAATGATTGCAATCAGAGATGCAAGTTTACACAGATAAAATACATTTAAATGAATAACAGTCTTGGTGGTTAGAGATTATGAATGTTCACAAGCATTCATATTAAGCAAAGACATTTAGAACATCGTGAAATGGTCCCATGACAAGTAAAATGCTTCCTTCAATAGAACAAAGACAGATAAGACGAAAAGAGAGAAAGAGAAACACAGAAAGAGACAGAGGGGGGAATGGAAAGACAGAAGACTCAGCGGCCCGTGTCAATCTAAATCTAAAGAGAGAGAATAATAATACCCATAACTGAATAAAACAAGAAGGAATGTATTCTTCGCTATATAAATATAAAGAGCCAGTACAGTTAGACACACACATGCACAAACGCACACACACAGCATAGGGAAATCGGACTGCTAATGAGGAGTGACTTGCAACAGCCAGGGCTCTCACACAGGCCCACTTTCATGTCAAAATAAACATACCAAGGTGTGTGAAGGGGGGGAGGAAGGGGGAAAAGTGACATCAAAAATGTATTTTTCTGTTGCAGAGAGCAGCAACGGCGAGAAGCAGCAAGTACAAGCCCTTTGATTTTGTTCAGCAGTCAGTACAAATTATGGTGGACAAGGGGGGCATCAAATGGCGGGATTAAAAATGTATTAAAAAACACAGGAGTTCCTCCCATGTGTGACACATGCAGACCTGCACTGGGCCCATTATGTATGACACACATGAGAGAAAAGGGGGAGGAGGTAAGGGAACATGCAGGAAACTGATGTGAACAGAAATGATGGGAAAAATTCCTTTGTGTTTGAAAGATTAGGACTGGGGGGACAGAAAGACAAGAAACACACAGAGAAAACTATCCACAAGTGTGTGAGCAAGGGATGTGGGGCGGAAAAGGAAGACAAAGAGAGAGATCAAAAATAAAATCATGTTAATACGTAAAGAAGACAAAAGGCCTGTGTTCTGGAGCTACAACACGACACAACACTCAGGACCAAACATAGTCAAACACACAAAATCCAATCCAACTGTCATTACATTTTTAGCTTTGAAAAGGTTTCCATGTTGAGTGTTTTTCACCAAAATACAGTTTGTGTATCCTTGAGGTGGTCAAAAACTCAACAGGTTCTTTAAAAGGTATGCAGAAACTCTTATGTCACATGGCCATAACATAATTGTGTTTAATTCCTCACTGTAATTTTATTAACTTAACTTATCCATATGTGTAGACTACATTATTTGTAATATATTTACCAGGTAATTTAGTCCTTATTTTTCTGACTCTAAATAACAGAATGAGAATTTTGTTGTTGCCATGGCCAGACATGATTGAAGAAAGAAGAGCATTTTGAAAACGGTAGCAGGAAAGGGGACTGTCTGCTTATTTACAAAAAATATTTAAGAAACACTTCCTCTCTACCGAATGAACAAGATCTAAAGGGTTTGCATTTCTGTATATTTGTGTGTGTGTGTTTGTGCGTCTGTGTGTGTGTGCATCCAGAGCAGTGGTTCCCTGTGGGGCGATTATTAACAGGATATAATGAAGCAGCAGGAGACTCTCAGGAGACAAGATGCAAACACTTACCAACAACCACAAACACAAGAGTCAAATAGAAACACGCGTGTAAACACACACACACACACACACACACACACACACACACACACACACACACACACACACACACACACACACACACACACACCACACACACACACACACACACAAAGAGTTTGTCTTGGGACATGAAATTCCACAGGAGTGTTGGTTGTTTGCATGTTGCTGTTTGCTCTGTCTGTCATGCTGTTTGGTTTTGAATATGAAATCAGACTAACAGTAACTTTGTGACTTCCTGTTTGTCCGTGCTGCTTTTCCACTTCTGCCCATCTGTCTTTGTAGTTGCCCGTGTGTCTCTCTGCAGCTCTTTGCCCCAAAACGTTTCACATATCAAAGGTACTTTTCTTTCTGCACTTCGAAAAGGAAGGCTCTCACTAGATCTCACTCTTCATCCACTGGGGATGCGTTGAAGAGCGAGATGTACTCCTATCCCATTTCTCCCTCCCTTTTCATTCCTCTTTCGTCTCCTCTACCTCTGTGCCTCCTCGTTCTTCCCACCCTTCCTTCCTTTCCATCTCCTCTCTTTCTGAAAAACAAATCACTCTGTACATCTCTCCGGGCTTCCCACCTCTCCCCTTCCTCACTCTCTTCCCCCTGTCTCTCTACCGTCCTCCAACCGCTTGTTCTCATAGCCACGGTGAGTATGTGAGCAGGAAATATTACCATACCAAATGAAAGGGAGAGGATTTTTTCTTCCTTCTCTTTTCTTTTCATTCAACATTGCGTTACCTTCCCTCTCTCCCAGCCTGCTAATTAGTCGGGGGACTGGTGTTTGGGAGTTAAAAGGAAACGGCACACGTTCATTCTCTTCTTCATACAAAAGGTTTTGATGGCGCTCCATCATCTGCAAATAGTACCAGCGGCTAAAAAAGGACAGCGCACACTAAGGATCGAGTGTACATGGTTTTGATTTTGATTTTAATTGTCTTTCTGCAAATGTCCAGTCTTCTTTAAACACATTTTCTAGCTTAAAACATTCAAAAACCAAGAAATTGTATTTTACTGTGTGGTTCAAAACACTTTCATCGCTACTTATTGATAGTCTGACTCCTGACTCTAAAATCTTTGATACAAGCAAACGGCCATATTATGTTCTGTTGAAGTCAATTTGTTTACAAACAATTACACTAGACTTCAGACATGATCAAATCCTAAATAAGCTAATTGTGGCAGCACAGGACGTAAATAATGATATTATTATACTTCTACAAATATAACCAAATGTCTTGAAAGTTTGGTTTAATGTATACAAATGAATGTGTGCTGGGTACTCTGTTGCAGAGTAAAGAATAATCTTATTTTCACTCTGAATGTTCCGACAAAACCTGCTGAGTGAGGAGCCTTCTTTAATGGATATGTGGACATTCAGATGGCCTGTCACTAGCATTTGTGTGTGTGTGTGTGTGTGTGTGTGTGTGTGTGTGTGTGTGTGTGTGTGTGTGTGTGTGTGTGTGTGTGTGTGTGTGTATATGTGTATGGGTGTGCGTGTTAATCTGCTGGGGCAACTCATCTTATCCTAAATGCCATGACCAATTTCACGCTCTCACTGGAAAGGTCGTGCCACTGGCGTGTGTGTGTGAGCATGTTTGTGTGTACACACCGGTGTTGTGAGTATCTGAAGTTAACCCGGTTAACCCCAGCGTAGGTGAAAATCTGCTGCTGAGGCAGACTTTAGCTACAGAGACCCTGGACAACGCTACTTAACGTCACTAGCCATCAATATCTATCCCACACACAGATGGAAACACAGACACACGCCTTTTTCAGAACTGATATATAAACATATACAGCCCAAACAATCTCGACTATAAACATACACACAGGCACACAAACATTCACACAAATTGTTCAAAAATGAAGCTGTACAAAGTGTTATGTAACCAAGACCAAGAACACTCAAGTTGTCTAAATATAAATTTAAGGTGGGTTAAGATTGTAACTTTTTGTAACACTTAAATCGGACATCATTGAATCTGGAAAGAGGCTATTTTGAACCGTAAAAAGACAGGGGCATGTACAACCGAAAACTGGGCTTGTGACGTGATGTACAATATAATGTATGATATATCTTTCAGACATGACTGAATCCATCAGCTGTGGAGAGACAGAGTGACAGAATGAGAGATCAACTCCGACACAGAGTGCACAGACGAAAGAATCAAAAGAAAGAGTGAAAAGTGGGCGCGGGTGTGTGCGTTTGGGTGCACGTGTGTTTAAGCATGTGTGAGAGAGTTTAAGTGTGTGTCTTCCAAGGCCCCCGTTGATCATCTTGACACATGTCTGAGCATTTCTGTCACTTTAATGTCACTGTGGAAATTCTGCAGATTAGTACAACATCCGTCATGGTGCCGGGCCGATCCAAGTCAACAGAACGCATGCAATATTAAACGCTAATATTCCCCACAGCCTTTTATGCTCCAATGTTACAGAGACAGAAGGAAGGTCCTGAATATTCACTCAGAGAGATGACATGGACAGGTTTGGGAGAAAAGTGCATACAGAGGCACACAGACACACACACAGGCAAAGATGATCACACAAAAAAAGACTCATTACGGTCTATATACTGTCTTTCACAGAAGCAGAGCTCTAATAGTATCATTGACATAAAACACACACACACATATACATCCATATTTCTTATTTCCATTGCATTTCTTTAACACAAAGGAACTACTGTACGTACGAGTGAGAAGAAAAGAAACAGATAGGGAGGATGGAAAGACATGAGACGGAAATAAAAATGGAAATAAGAGAGGGATGAAACATGAGAAACCGAGTCAGATGGGAATGAATTAAATACTTAGAAAGCGAGGCAATAAAGAGTGAGGGGGAGTAGAGAAAACGGCTGAGTGAAATGAAGCGAAAGACAAACAGAGAAAGAAAGAGAGCTGATTAGAGATGCATGCTGAGGGAATGTCATTGTTCTAGTCGATTTGAGACATTATTTAAACTAAGACCCGGGAGAGAAAGACGGAGTATGAGAGAGAGAGAGAGAGAGAGAGAGTGATCGACAAAGGGAAGTGGATGGCGGTGGGAGTGGGATGTATAAAAGCAGAAATTCAGATGGTGAGAAAGACAAAAAGAGACCCCTGCATTGGTCTGGAAGGATGGCATAAAAATGACTTGTTTGTGTGTGTGTTTAGAAATGCCTCTATTAAAACTTTTATTTGAGTCTGTAGTTCATATAAGACAACACAACTGTTAAATGCAAGGGTGTGCGTAGGAGGATGATGGTTATTTGAGTTTGAGAGTACGCAAGACAGGCAATTGAACAGCTGCTTGTGGACAGCTGTACTTCTCCACTGATGTCCTCTGCACACCAGAATGATACATAGGTGGTGAATTATGCATGCTGTCCTGTGTTACAGTGAGGTGGAGCAGTCACACTGAACTTTTCACTGCTGACCGACTACAGGCTCTGTCGGGGAGATGCCCACTTCTGTCTGCCACGATGGATTTGCTCTCCTGCGAGCAAAGGCCTGGTTCTGAGGCCGTGGTTAACATCAAACCGAGACTGAAATCAAATGATAAACTCACATCCTGCAGCATATCAGTGTGTGAGTAATCCCTATGGGATCATAGTTTTGGTTTAACTAGAGAATGCCACGAGATTAAATAAGTAACTGTGATCAGAAACAAAATCATATCAGCTGTGACAGAGGCTTTTCACCTAAAAATTATTAACCCAATAATGACATTTTAGCTCAAATTCAAACCAAGAGCTGGTTGACGTATTATTCCATTAATGCACACGTGTGTCAAAGTTAATCACACTCTATCATTGTGTGAACACAAAAGCAAACCACATTAAAACTTCAAAGTTAGCATGAAGACAGCTGAGTTAAAGTGTTTCCAGGTAAGGATATTTGAAAGCAAGAGAACACTATTAGACTAGATTAAAGTTTTAGATTAGAAAAGTGACATACTGTAAATCTAATCTAAGACACCACATATTCAGTTATCATAAATCACACAACCCATACACGAGTCCGGCGCCAACAAGGCTGATGTCAGCTGTCAGTTATTTACAACTTTGACAGCCTCCAGTTTATTACCTGATTTAGCAGTCTGACCGCACTGATAGCTGTCCATTAACCAAAACGTCAGGTGCAACGCAGCACCGCCTGGCACTGCGGGTATACAGCATGTGTCCAGAAGCACAGCAGCACTTAAATCCACTCAATCACTTTCTCAGCAATGACAAATAAAACCCAAGAATAAAACCCGACGAAAAATAAGAGGGAACATATATTTAGCTGTGTGTGTGTGTGTGTGTGTGTGTGTGTGTGTGTGTGTGTGTGTGTGTGTGTGTGTGTGTGTGTGTGTGTGTGTGTGTTATAAGTAAAGTATCCTTTATATCATCAAGAAGTAAACTGCTTAATTAAGACCATAAGGAGATTCTCCCCAGGGGGGCTCCTCTTTTCTAACTGTTTGTTTGTATATGCTTGAACTTGAAATGAATGAACACTGTATGTGGATCTATCACTGATTGTGATATTTGGGAATACAAATCCACAGAAAAGACAACTCAGTGAAAAACAAACTGTATGTGTTTGAGTAGAAGGAGCTTGTGTGGCAACATGACCCTATAAAAACCCTTAAAACGTATACTGTATCAGACACTAACTTACATGGTGTGTGAGGTCTTACGTCAGAGTTACAAATAGGGTTAAGAATACATGTTGTTTTTCTGATCATGTTTGTTACTCACATTGTTTCCCTCTGTGTGGCTCTCAGGCAGACACAGACAGCGGTAGGGCTTCACACTGGTCTCACAGTGGTCTGCATGGCCGTGACACTCACATCTGGCCAGATGATAAAGGGAAGAAAGGAAATATAAACAAAACTGCAATGTACAAACTATTTTTGTTACAATGAAAAAAAGTAGTGGCATCAATAAAAAGGTAAACAGCAATAATGCCTATTTTTCATATGTTAGGAATCGACAAGTCTCAAGCCTCATTAACAATGACGTAATCACCAATATAAAAAGTGAAGTAAATTATAGTTTTTCATCCAGCCCATACACTACAAAAAAAAGAAAGAAAAAAGATTATTAATCTAGTCAAATAAACACAAAAACAAGACTACCCAAAGAAACTTAACTTAGTCAATACAAAAGTAAGGCAGTTGAGGAAAATTGCTATAAAAAAGTGTCTCTCTACCAAAAGTCTAGCTAAGCGTGGCTTCCCTTTTACAGCTGATGAATATGCCAAGCTGATATTGAACTGAGAAGGGATGCAATTATTATTGGACAAATGAGGCCTATGAGTGCAGACAAAAACATACGCACTGAGGTTATGCTGGTACTCTCTCTTGCCAACAAGCATATTTACATGCCATACACAGATAGAAGAGAGATGTAAGAAGTATGAAAGAGAGGAGGGAGACTGGGAGGGATGAAGAATGCACAGATGAGATTTCAGCAGCTCCAAATCTCTGTTTCTCCACTTCACTGTAACAAGCTACTAATTAAAACAGCTTAGAGGGAGGGGGAGGGGGAGACAGAGTTAGAGATGATTGCCTCCTGCATAATCCTATAATTACCACAGTCATAAAAAACAGTCACTCTGTCAGTCTAATGAAGAGATGTGTTCACAATTACTCTCAGAAAGCTCTCCTGATACTCAACACACTCAAATATGTTTTCTAGATGTCAAACTGTGCTCAGAAATTTGAACAAATCAACAGTGAAAAGATCTTCAAGTGTTACTTTTTCAACCAATCAAGCTGCTAAATAAAAATGGTGACAGGACTAACTGAACATTGGAATGATGCTACATATGGTGATTCCTCTGCATAAGCTCATATGAATGATTTGATGTATGACAAATCAAATGTTGACATTTTTTTTACAACATACCACAGATTTACATATCCATAAGAGATCATTTATCTGCAAAGAAAACATCCACCAACATATCTCAGAAGCAGATGAGATTCAGTGGGATCTCGGTCTACATGTGTGTCCTCACCTGCCACTGATGGTGATCTCATTGATGGCATAGTATCTGTGTCTCTGGTTCACCCCCGCTGCCCTGCTGTTGGATTGTCCACTCAGGTGTATCCTGACCTGGGTGGCATGTGCCATCTTCTGCAGAGCAGGGGTGTTGTAGAAGTCGTTATATCCCGGACGCAGGTTTGGCTCTGGGGTCAGCAGGCTGAATATGATGTTACCTCCTGAGAAGGGTAAATCGCTGAAACACAGAAACATAAACACACATTGTGCCAGTTATTTTAGAGGTATGTGTCTAGATCACAACTTTGAAAAACAAACAAGGGTTCGTTAGAAAGAGTAATTTACAATATATATTTGAGTAAAACTAATACATCTGAACTGATATACCAGATTGTTTAAACTATCAAATATAAATATAATGGTATCAGCCTTGAAGTCCAACATCGTTCAGGAAACAGTGTCCAATAGAAAAACAACACAGCTAAACACACTATATGAGTGTCATTGCAAAGACAAAATCAACTTGACATCTACAGGCTTCTTTTTTCCTTTTGTCTTAATTTCGCTCGCTTAAAATAAACCTAAAATGCAGCTGAAATCATAGACAACAAACAATTACCACCTTACCTCCTCCGATAATCCTGGGAGAGCACCGACATTTTTTTAAATGAACCCCTAACAAATGGCTGCCACTACTGATATTTCATAGATTTTTTGGTGGTGATTCTGAACACAGTGTTGGGTCAATAACCTTGTCAAATCATAAACAAAAAATATGTACTGTAAAAAATACACTTATTTATGTATATACTTGCAGAATAACTGTACATTTCAGCCAGAACCCAGAGCACAAACCAAAATATTGTAAATCAAATGTGAATTGGCGCCAGTTCTACAGCTGTAATCGATGAATTAACTCTACAACAGGAGCACCCCACATACGTGTATCTACAGCAGGTTCCAGCTCTTTCTTTCTATTGCTCTGGGTAATGCTTTTTATCTGACAAAAATACCTGTTTACTTGTTTATCTGTACATGTAGACAAGATGCAAAAGGATCACTTACAGCACTCCTGGAGCAGTACTGTAATTGACTGGTGTGAAAACACCTGAAAGACTGAGGCGTGCTTGAATTTATCTTGCCAGACACTCCAGCGGCCTCAGAGGAGGCAATGTCTCTTGTGGGATTAAATAAATCTTGTGAGATAAAACATATAAATCTTTCAAGATCAAAGACAGTGCTCTTTTTATCAACCACTAATGTCACAGAGGGTGTTATTATGTTGCCCATGTGAGGTTCAATTGCTCTCATGCCAAATTAACTAATACTTATAACTGTGCCAGGAAAGGTTGTATGTGATATCATTTGTCAATCAAGTGAAAAATAAGCAATGACTACATAATCTGTGATCTATTCATACCTGTTCTATCTAATGCCAACCAAGACCTTGATACAAGCAGCTCTGCCAAGATTCAGTGTGTGTGTGTGTGTGTTAAGACTATGTTCCAAGGCCAGCTCTCCTGTGTGTGTGTGT